AATAAATTGTGCTGGTGTCAATCAACAGTTTCTTCTTCCTCTGCACCGACACGAAACTCCCTCCCCTTCTCCAAAGAATCACCGAGGGGAATCAAGAGGGTTTCTTGCCATCTTCAGCCCTCAAAGCACAAAGGCTCAGACCCTTTCCCCTTGCCCCCAGTCCTGGCTCAGCCTCTTCTCTTTCTGGAAGGTCAGCCTGGGGCAGGAGGTGCTGTGTAGGAGAAAGTGGTAACAGGTGGAGTCTGTGCACTTTTCTTTGAACCTGGTGGGAGGTGGGTCAAGCCAAAGTATCTCTGTAGAAAATACTGTTTCTTAGTACTTCCTGTACGTCATCAGGTCCTTAACACACTTGATACCCAAATAACGATTTTACTGAGGATCAGCACTGAGGCTCGATATGAATTCAGAATCCCTAGTTCTCACCCCTGGTCAGATTTTGCCAGCTCTGGGATCTGAGAGGCCACCAGCTCCGAGGACTCATTTCCTGCATCCCAAGCCCTTATTCCCCTTGTACCGGAGCTCTGTGCCCTGGGCCTGGGGATTTTCCCACCTGCCTTCACTCTGGTTTCTCTTCCAGATGGGCTAGGGACATAAAATAACATTTTGTGAGTCGGTCCTGAGTTTACTGTGACCTCCCAGAGGCTGAGCTAGAGTGGAGAGGCTCATGGGATTGCCTCCCGATCCACATTGCAGACCTGGAGACTGGAGCCACACTGCTGTCTACACTGCCAGGTTCAGATCAGGGATGTAATGCATGGGGATTCAGAAGGAAGCCCCCACCCAGAAGGAGCCTGGCCTGGTTCATGGGGGTCTGGTAAGCAGGCAAGCCTTGGGGGAGGAGTTGAGGTGCGACTAGGGGGTGTAGCTTCTGCCCAAGGGTCCCCCAGACCTCTGTGGAAACCAAGTTCTCCCCTCCTTGCTAAGCAATTTTGAAATCCAAGGCATAGCATTTGTTTTTTATAGTAGCTTTATTGAGATATAGTTTGCATACCTTAAAATTCAACCTTATAATTCAGTGGCTTTAGTACATTCATAGTACATTCATAGACATGGCAGCCATCACCATTGTCTAAATCTAGAACATTTTCACCACAGGGGAAAGAAACCCTGTGCGCATTACCAGCGCCCCCCACCCCCAGGACCCCTCCTCCCACCCGGTATAGCCTTACCCATCTACTTCCTGTCTCCATAGACTGGCCTGTTCTGGACATTTCGTGTGACTGGAATCACACAATACGAGGCCTTTTGTGTCCGCTTCTTTCGCTTAACGTTAAGTTTTCAGGGTTTATCCGTGTGGCCTGGTGCGTCAGCCCAGTGACACTGCACTGCATGGATATACCACGGTTCATCTGTTTATCCGTCGGCACTGAGAGATTTGTTTTGAAACCACCTCGAGGATCATTTCCCGCGCGGGGCGCAGGCCGGGAGGGGCAGGAATTCGGAGTGCGCCTCACGCGTCCAGGCGCACGCACCCGAGCCAGCATTTGGCCGCAGCGAGTGGGATCCCAGAGCAGAGGCCCTGCAGGGGGCAGACCTCACACCTCCGCCGATCGCCCCCCTTTCCCACACCTCGCCCCTCATCTTCCCTTCCCCTCCCGGGATCCTAACTGGAGCGGAGGGAGAAGCCTTTTCCCGGGGCCCACCCAGTTTAGAAAATCTGTTTGCATGGCAAAGGCCCTGCGGTTTAGGATGGGGAATTAAAGTTATTAGCAAGTCTTTTCACAGATAAGTGCGACTCATCGGCCAGCGCCCTCCCCTGCCGAGGGCCTCTCCTCCCTCTCGGAGCCGGGGAGCGGCCCCACTGTTTATCAGCGCCTGGGTGTGAAGTTTCATTAGCGCGTCTCTGCTAATGAGACGGAGGAGGCGGACGGGAAGGGGTCTCCTCCCACCTCTCCCGCGCCTGCGCCCCCTTGCTGGGCCAGCGCCGCCCGCACCGGCAGGAGAGCCTGGGTGCCGGGTCCAAGGCCCACGTCAGAGATCACCTTCCAGGTAGGTGACAGCATCGCTCGCATAGTTCTCAGCACCTGTGAGAAGGGGCCAGTTGGTGGGGCCATTTTAAGGATGGGAAAGTTAAGCAAGGAGGCGGCTCACCGACGCGTGGGAGCCGGGGGTAGGGCGCAGCCTTGGACTGGGACCCGGATGTGAGTGCGGCGCCTGGGTGTCTCCCCTGGGGTGCGCGGTTGGGGCGACAGCTGAACGCCACCCTGTCCCTGGGACAGAGGGCACGTGGAGGCGCCTCACCTCACCTGGCTCCCTGGCAGGGCGCCTGCTGGAAGGCGGGCGCCAGAGCGTGCCATGCGCACGGGGTGCCCCACCGGGGCCACCGGGCCGCCGGCCGCCGCGCTGCGTCCTTCCGAAGAGCCGCTGTCACAGCTGGCCGGGCCAGAGGGGCACCGGCGGCCACCGAGCGGTTGGCCAGCTGCGCCGGGCTCTGTGTCAAAGGCTTTCAACTCACCCTCTACCTTCAAGTCACCGTAGCCTCGGAGCGCAGGTGGGGCCGGCAGGTGCGCGCGCTTCTACCGATTTAACAGATCGGGACACTAAAGCACAGGAAACAGGGACTTTTTCACAAAGCTGGGTAGCACCTACCTGGCTGTTGGGGCGGCGACAGCGGTGGGTGGGAGTTGGCAAGTCAGGTGTTTGGAATAGGCCTGGCGGGCAAGTGTGTGTGCTGGGGCGTGTGAAGTAAGGCCCCAGTGCGCCGTGGCCACCAGTGCCGTGGCTGCCCGCGAACCTTCCGCTCGCTGAGCACAGATGCCGTTCCGCTGGGGAGGCTGCGCCCTGGAGGTGCTGGGTGGCCCCGCTCTAAGGCGGGGCAGCCAAGCGGACGGCTCCCTCCGTATTCAAGACATTGATTCAAGGACATGCTGCATGGGTCACAGGATGGACCCCGGGGCGGGGCAGGGGGAGGTGGTCCTGAGTCGTCTCTATCGGCCCATCCTAGGGGAAGGACTGAAGGGCAGGCCCCTGCCTTGGGTGGGTCGCTGGTGAACCTGGAGGAGGGCCAGCCGGTGTCCCTCTGGCCACCCGATGACAAATAAGCAGGTGCATCCGAAGGGCGGGTGGGTGCGCCAGGATTCTGCAGGGGCCCGGATCTGGAGCACTGGGTGGCCCGGGGGCTGGGGACGGACGCTAGCCCTAACAGCAAAGCCCCTGCTTGTCCCAGGGCGAGGCCAGGAGCCACGTTGCCCACCCCGCCCCCTGCATGTCATCCCTGCATTTGCACAACCCTGAGGGTGCTGCTTCCCAAATGTCTCGCCTTGGGCGCTCCGTCCACTCGCAGTAGTTTCAGCCTCCCCTGAGGAGACCCAGGGTTCTTCGTGCTTCTGCGGGGTTCCGTCACCCAGTGGGCAAGCTCCTCTTTGGGGGCCCCTCGCACCACTGGGCACCAGCCGTGAGCGGGGCTAGAGCCGTGGGTCTCCAGCTCAGCTTTGCCCGGTTCCCTGGAGCCTTGCCAGGCCCTGGGTCCTCCGCCTTCCTCCCCCCTCCCTCCCCTTGTGTACCTGGCCTATGAGGCTCCTTGTGATTGCCCCAGCTCCCCTCTCCCCTTCCTGCCCTGCCCCCACACACTAGCAGATGGGGAGGCGGCCTGGAGTTGGTCACACCTGACTTTGGAGAGGGCGGGTGGGGGCACCCTTCCTGCCTTCTTCCCCTGAGGCCTGGCATGTTCCTCTCTGCGGACAGCGCTCTCCCCTCCTTGGTTTGGATGGGCACCACCTCCACGTCGCTCCAGGGATGGGCACGCGCCACGGGGGCCCGCACGATCAGCACCCGAGGGGCTCAGGCGTGAGAGCACGTCCGGGCCAGTGAGAAGCAGGCTCCGGACTTTGAAAGGGACACTGGCTGTGGGTGCTGTTGGCGGTCATGTTGCCACCCAGGCAGAGGGCATCAGAACAGAGACGGAGAGAGATTCCCGATGTTACCCAGCGCCCGGACCCGGCTACTCAGGAAAGCATGGCACCTGGAGTTTTACATTACATGAGCCAAGCCTGAAGTTCGTTTGAGAGTTGGGTCTCTGACACGTGATGTTGGAAAAGCCCATTAGGACTTGATTCAGGCTGTTCCAAGCGGTGTGCCCTGAGCCTCCATTTCCCTTCTGTACAATGGGGATAGTGACAGTATCTACATCTCACAAGGTGGACTTGTAAAGCAGGCACATCACACAGCAGGTGCCCCAGAAATGGTAGCCCCCTGTCGCATTTAGGGGGTGTGCAAGGCCAAGGCCATCATCCTGAGTTTTCCTCGCTCAGAAGGGAGCGACCACGGTGCCTGCTGTGTAGAGGAACAGGACCGATTGTTGTAAAGCTTATTTCCGCCGCTGTTTCTGTTCCCGTGGTGGGGGGAGGGGCGGAGCGCCGCGGGCGGGAACCTCTTCATCCAGGGATGTGCCGCCGGTCAGGACAGTGAGGAGCGCGTGTGACCCACGGGAGGAGATGGTGGGGACACAAAAGGAGCTGCCTGTCCCAAACCCCGCGTGCAGTTGGCCACAGGGAGGCTGGGATGCCTCAAGCCCCTGCAGTTCCCGGAGGCGCCACATAGTGTCCTCGGAGAGGCGGGCCTAGGCCTCAAGCGGGGACCCCTCCAGTAGGTTATCCCGGGAAGGGCAGTTTCCAGAGAAGAGAGAGAGGCACCTCTCTGCCCCCCCATCCTGTCCCTCAGCCACGCCACCCTGCAGCCTCCCCTGCCCCCACCCTGGGGTCCCCGGCCACAGCTCCCTCTCAGACCTGTATGACCTCAGGCGGTCGCCCAACCTCTGAGCCTCCTCAGCCTCTCCGAGGCAATTCCAGAAGGGTCGAGGCAGCTCAGAGAGGGAGAGGAAGTGGGTGGGGAGAAAAGGGCCACAAGGTAGCCGGGGTGTCCTGGGGTCTTGCTCCTTTGAGCAACATGGCTCTCCTGGGCCTAGAAGGCGAGGGCCCCTCACAAGGCCCGGGCCTGGGCCCTGCTGGGGTCTGCGTGGGTGGGCGCGAAGGGTTATACCCGCAGCAACCTCGGAGGCCGGAGACATTATCACTGTTTATTGGGGTGACGTGTGCCCAGCCGGGGGCTCTGACAAGCGGCTTAGGGTTGCAGGCTCCCCGGGTCACCCCTTTCCCGTTGCTGAGGTCCCAGACTGCCCGCCGGGGCCCTGGGGCCTCCTGAGTGGCAGCCCTCCGTCACCTTGTCCCTGGACCCCAGAGCATCCCGGGGCGGAGCCGGCCTGTCCCAGGCTGGTGAGCGAGCGCGTCACTTCCTGGAGGTCTCTCTCTGGAGAAGCAGGGAGTACCTGCGGAGCCGCATCCCGTGCTCCTGCTCCTTCACCTTCTTCTCCAGCTTCTGGAACCTGCGGGCCGCACAGGTGGACATGAGAGCAAACCGCTTTGTGCCGCGTCATCCCCCTGCCGCCCGGCTCCCGGGTCCCCGGGGCCGACCTTGACCGCCCTGTGCTAATCTAAGAAGCTGTCCCGATGGCACGTCTGCGGCACGTCTGTGTCCCCGGGGCTTGGCCTGGTACTCGAAACACCTTTACCGCGTGACGACGGGGCCTGCGCTCTGAAGCACCCGATGGAAGGCGTGGTGCATGGGGACTTCCGGTCTGTGGCGGGGACCACCGTTAGCCACGTCAGAGTGCCCATGCTTCCTGGGAGTAGATGCTTCTCGAACATCTGCTATTGTCACCGGCTGGACCCCAAGACCTGACCTTGACTGCCCACCTGCCTGAACTTACTGACCTTTGTCCTACATTCTTCCTTAAGCTCTTCTTTCCAGCTTCTCTCTTAACTCAGGCAAAAGACCCAAGGGCGTAGCGATGGAAGCCCAAACCGCCCCTCTAGCAATCACGGCGATGCCCGCACAGAGTTCTGGAAGCCCGGCTGAACAGACCAGTTTGACCTTAGCCTCCCCACTCAGGCCTGTGCTCCTGGACCGTTGGGTGACCCAGGGAGGGACCGGTAGTTACCTTTACTCATAATACCCAACTGTCCACTCCTCGGAGCAGCTCATCTCATTTAGGCGACATATAAGGTACATGTGTAGGCCTGTTTCCTTAGGGCGCGTGTATGGCCTCATGCCCATCTCTGCATACAGTGACAAGACTTCCCTAACCCTCCATGGAAGGAACCCACCCACCCCGGCTCTGGGAGTCACGGCTGTCATAGTTATTCTCCGTGATCTCCTCATTTGCTGCGAAGGCAGTTTCCCTTGGGCCACAGTTCACCTGCTGTAGTTTCTTTTTTTTTTATGTTTTATTTATTTCTGAGAGAGAGAGAGACAGTGTGAGCAGGAGAAGGTCAGAGAGAGGGAGACACAGAATCCGAAGCAGCTCCAGGCTCTGAGCTAGCTTACAGCACAGAGCCCGACACAGGGCTCGAACCCACGAACTGTGAGATCATGACCTGAGCCGAAGTCAGACGCTTAACCGACTGAGCCACCCAGGTGCCCCCACCTGCTGCAGTTTCTATGTGGGACCCCCCACGGAGTGAACTCACATTGGTTTGGTTACCTAGTGACAGGCATGGGTGCAAGCGTGGGAAAGGCCCCAACTGGCTAAAACAGCCCCGCTTCCCCCCCTCAGTTTTGTCAGGGTGACAGAATGAGAAGGACGTCTGTAATTCGAGGCCACAGACGTCAAAGGGAGGAAGGCGGGAGGGACCCACCTGCCCGGGGAGCTCCTGGAAGAGAAGACCTTTGAGTTGGATCTTTTATAAGATGTTAATTTTTTTAAAGCAACAAATAAATGCACATTCAGTATGGGACACCCAGAGCAGCTCAGGATTCACCCCTCGTTCTGCATATGCCCGCTGTGAGCAGGGTGGAGGAGGCCGCCCCTCTGGGGAAGGGGTGTCCCTGGTGCCTGGGTTTCTGCCTTGGGAGCCTGATGCGCACAGGATGTTAACCCACTTGGGCCACGCAGGAACAGGGCTACTTCTGGGGAGAGACACCATGATTGCGGCTTAGGATTTTTGAGGCTCTGCCTGCCAAGGGACATCCACGTGGAGATGTATCTGGTACTCGGTGCACTAAAACATTTTTATTTTTTTCATTTCAAAAAAATGTTTATTTTTGACAGAGAGAGGGAGGGGCAGAGAGAGAGAGAGAGAGAGAGAGAATGAGTGGGGGAGGGGCAGGGAGAGAGGGAGACAGAATCGGAAGCAGGCTCCAGGCTCTGAGCTGTCAGCACAGAGCCCAACGTAGGGTTTGAACCCATGGGCTATGAGATCATGACCTGAACTGAAGTCAGATGCTGAACTGACTGAGCCACCCAGGTGCCCCTAAAACTTTTTAACCTGAAAAAATATACGTTATTTTTTTTTTTTTAAATCAAAGAATACAAGTGGGTATACAACAAGAAGCAATCTCTCTCTCACCTCCGACCCTTATTTTCTGTTCCCACAGCAATGGTAATTAACAGCTTCTTGTAAATCCTTGGAAATTGTTTACACACATACAAGCGTAGATGTGCATATAATTTTTTTTTAATTAAATGGAAGCGTGCCACACACTGCGGTGCCCCTGCTCTTTGCACTGAAACCGTGTCGCAGAACTTGCTTCCGGGAGGCACTCACAGATCTGCCGCCGCCTTTTTCCCTGTTGAGGACATCAGGGCGTCCACTCTTCGGCTAATGCTGCCCGGGCTGCAGGGAACTCTGGGCCCGCGTGCGGGAGCGCTGGGCAGGGAGGGGGCAGAGCATGTGCAGGTTACGAACCCGGGCTTTGAACCCGCACTGCTTGTGTGCCAACCCAGCCCCTGTGCTGACAAGCTGGTGACCCTGGGAGGGTGATTTGACCTCGTCAGCCTCAGCTTCCTCACTGGGCAGTGGGGACAATAATAGTAAAAATAAGATTATGCCTGCAAACCACGTAGCATAGTCCCTGGCACACAGTAGGTGCTCAGTAAAGTTAATTATAATACATCTGCTGCTGATAAATAACTGGATGTGAAATTTTGGGGTCAGGAGTTCAAAACAACATGGATTTAATAAGGGACTGTCCAGGAGTGCTTGGCTGGCTCAGTCGATGGAGTGTGCGACTCTTTTTTTTTTTTTTTTTTTAATTTTTTTTTTTTTTTTGAGAGAGAAAAACAGAGTGCAAGCTAGGGAAGGGCAGAGAGAGAGGGAGACATAGAATCCGAAGCAGGCTTCAGGCTCTGAGCTGTCAGCACAGANCTCTTTTTTTTTTTTTTTTTTTAATGTTTATTTATTTCTGAGAGAGAAAAACAGAGTGCAAGCTAGGGAAGGGCAGAGAGAGAGGGAGACATAGAATCCGAAGCAGGCTTCAGGCTCTGAGCTGTCAGCACAGAGCTCGATGTGGGGCTCGAACCCACGAACCGCGAGATCATGACCTGATCTGAAGTTGGATGCCTAACCAACTGAGCCACCCAGGTGCCCCTAAGTTTATTTGTTTTGAGAGAGAGAGAGAAGACCACAAGCAAGTGAGGGGCAAGAGAGAGAGGGAGAGAGAGAATCTGGTGCAAGCCCTGCACTGTCAGCTTGGAGCCCAACACAGGGCTCGATCCCACAAACCATGAGATTGTGACCCAAGCTGGAAACCAAGAGTTGGATGCTCAGCCAACCCAGCTACCCAGGTGCCTTGGAGAGTGTAACTTCTTGACCTAGGGGTTGTGAGTTTGAGTCCCACGTTGGGTACAGAGATTAATTTTAAAAATATCTTAAAAAAAAAAAACAAACCAAAAAGCTGTCTAAGAGGCAGCTGGAGAGATGTGACCAGGGCAAGTTTTGAAAGGAAGCCCGAAGGTAAAGTCATTCGTGTGTTCCAGACCGCGTGGGTACAGGATCTACAACATAATGTTGGCGTGGGGACAGTCTTTCTCGACGATCTGATGATAAAAATGGTTAGCCTCTTGGCCCTTGCAGCGTGTGTTAGGCAATGTGCTATGCAGACATGCAGCTGTCACCCATTTTACACACGGAGACACTGAGGCCCGCCCTGTTACACAGCCAGAGCCCCCTGTCTGTGTCCCAGTCATACTGCAGAGCTTAGAGCTTGCACCCCGGATTTGAGGCGCTTTGCACCCGCCCCTCCGTGAAGCCCAAGGGAGAAGATGGAAAACTCCAGCTACCGGACACTCGAAACTTCTGTCTGGCTAGATGAGCAACCCCAAGTCCTCCTGTCCAGAGACACACCAGGAAAAATTATTCGCAGCACACTGACACAGAACTCTTAAAATGAACCCACGCGTGAGAAACATATCCAGGGCCAGCCAGGGAAGGAATGAGAGAGACGTATAGTACGTGTAACAGAAAGATGCTCAGTGTCCTTCGTTGCCTAATTAAAATCGCTGTGGGCTCTCAGTTCCTGCCTGCCCAGGGGGCCAGGTGCCCTGCGGACCTGGTGCCCGCTCATCCCAGAAACCCGCCTTCTGGCAGACACGTGGGTGCTTGAACCCGGATCTCGCTGGGCTTTGTATTCCACAGGAATAAAGGGAGAGAAAGACAGAGAGAGACAAAGAGGAGAGGGACAGAGAGAGGAAGGGACACTGTTTCTGTCTGCTGCCCACTGTCCCGAAGTTTCTGCCTTGTGATCACGAATGACCTGGCCAGGGAGGGCAGACCCGGAAGCAGGGTGCGGCGCCAGCTGGGAGTGGTCCCCGGAGCCCGGGCTGGACGGGCACAGAGGCCAGTCCTCGGGGTGGGGGCGAGGGCGCGTACTTGCCGCTCACTGGCCTCCTTTTAAAGCGCCAAAGTCAGGTGCCCTTTCACACTGGCTATTTATGAAATAGTTTCACAAAACTATTTGTGAAAACAGTTTGGACAGATTATTGCAAGCCCGCAACTCTGAATCGATTGCCACATAAGCCACTGCCCTGAAATTTCACCCAGTTTTAGGGCCAAGGGAAGTGGTTTCAGACACGTGGAGTAAGTAGGGGAAAACAAGGTGGGATTGAAATATTTGGGACCTGTACGCATATCGGGGGTAAACAATAGGAACATGTGAGTGACAGAGGCTAGGTCTGGATGTTCAGCGACTTTTTCCCCCCAAAACTGCTATATGAAAAGTTTCAAAATAAAAATGTCAGAGCCAGGGCATGGGGGGCTACTTTTTGGGAAAGCCCCAGATATCAGACCTCAGAGCACACAGAACAGGAAAAGCCTTCTTTAAATCAGTTTTTCCCACTGTGTTGCTGGGACCCGATCGGGAAATGGGCTGCTTGTCACAAGGGATGTAATTCGAACACTGTGATCAGGCCCAAGTAGAAGTTCCTTCAAGCTGGGCTGGCCCCAACCACACAGTGCAACCCCATCCCAGCTCCTGCTGGGTCCCAGTGAGAACTGCCCTGAGCTTTTCTGTTCCCAGGGCGGCCCTAAGCCCAGGCCACCTCCTCCCCGCCCCCCCCCCTTCCAGCTGGTCAGCCCCAAGGACTCCAGCTCTCTCCCTGCTTCCCACTCCATCCCTCCCCGCTATGGGGCCACCCTACGGAGGTGCTCAGGTGTGACACCTGAGGGCTAAGCTCTGCGGACAGACAGGGAGGAAAGACTTCTGGAAAAGGCGATGCAGGCACACGGACTGCAGGGGGCAGGGCGGAAAGGCCAGCCCGACCACAGGGGAGTGGAGAGATTCATTGCAGACGCCCCCTTTCCACGGAAGTGACATTGGCATATTTCCAGGGAAATTTTTCTTAAAATTGAAGAATTAAGTTATATTCCAGAGTGACAGAAAGCCAGATTTAAAAGCTGAACACGAAACGTGATCTCGACTTCGTAAAAACGCCCAAGGAAAACCCTGAGGGAAGTGCACTGACCTATGAACAGCAGGGCTAGGTTTTGGGGTGACGGTTGTGGGTGGTTTCAATGTTCTTTTTTGCGTCGTCCTGTTTTCCAGATTTCCACAGCATATAGAACTTCTATCAGAATGATGAATAACTTTTTTTTAAATTTACAACAAGGAAGTACCCTTTTCTGGTTGTAAGTTCCACCTGAAGCAGATTTCAGGGGCTCAGTAGGGCTCTGCACGTGTCCGAGTACTAATCCCCGCTCCTTGGCTGAGGGTTGGAAATGTCAGGCTCCTTGGCTGAGGATTGGAAATGTCAGTCGGGGATTGGGGCAGCCTCAGTGGGCTGGGCCCCCCTGCCACCAGGCAGGAGGTGAGCCACCCAGCACTGGAAATGTTGGCCTTTGGTCCGTTCCCACAGGCCGGGTGGCCAGCTGGCTTTTGGGAGAAGTGGGAAGGTTCACCCTTTCCCAGCCGGAAAAAGAGGGCATTAAACTGCGAGACACAAATGGAAACGGGCTCCTGAAACACGGAGGTCCTCTGAGCCTTGTTGGGAAAGAGCTCCAGAGATGCCGAGCCACGACATGACACCCAGGAGAACAGCCTCACCATAGCCATGACCTTAACTCATACCCTTGACTTTCTTTTTTTTTTAACCATTTCTAAAAATTTTCAAAAAAAAATTTTTTTTGGTAGAAAAGCTGCAAACAGGGAAAATGCAAAAAAAAAAAAAAAAAAAGCACACCTATGTCATCACCCAAATAGAACTGCTGTTACTATAGGTAAGCACGTGCCCAGCCTCCTCCCCGGATCAGGATCATACTGTAAATAATAATGCGTAACCTCTCCCTGTCTTTTGTTTGGAAAACTTTCGTTGCAAGTAGTACAGAGAGCCTGCAGCTGTAAGTCGCCGATTGTGAACATTTTGTCTGTCTGTCCCTCCGTCTCTTTCCGTGAGTATTTTCCTGGGTTTCACTGGTTGGTGACATTTTCTCTTCCTCTCTCTAAATGTTTTCCTGGTCTGTGCTTCAGAGTGAGCTGCAGACCTCTTGATGCTGCACCCTTAAATGCGTCATCGGCCTCTCCTCAAAGTCACCCCATCAAGGGTCAAAATAAGAAACGGTGATGTGAAGAACTGCCGGATGCTCTCAGGGAATCTTTAATCAGGGGACGTGTCCACTGACCCCTCCTTCACTGTCCTCCCCGAGACCCACAGACCATCTCCCTCTCCTGATGAATGGGCTGCTTCCCTCCAGGAGATCCTGAAAGCCCCCGGGAACCCCCCACAGCCCAGGAACTACGGGCAGCAGGGAAATGCAGCCATGGGGACCATTCACAGCGCCACCTCGCGGTGGTGTTTAGAATTCGCCCCGGCACGAACTGGAATTAACCCAGCATCCTTCTCGCACCTACCAAAAGGCACTTGACACGTATTATCTCTGGGATACTATAAAATCTGAGGGCTGGGTACCATCGAAGTGTCCACAGCACAGCCTGGTGCACTTCAGGTGTTCAAGACACCTGTTTTGAACAATGGAGGAAACTGAGGCTCTCGGAGGTGAAGGCACTAGCCCAGGGTCTCTCAGTTGGGAAGGAGAGGCATCGGATTTCAAGCCTGAGTATCCTGGCCATTCCACTTCATTCCTCTTGAGGAGAGTAAATAGGAAAAGGGGAGATGGTCGTAAAGGGATATTATGAGGATTGAAGAGATCACAGGGTCTCAGAAGATTCTGGAAGGGAAGGGGCCACCAGAGTGCCCTCTCTGAGGTGCATCCAGGGCTCTGCTGGTAACCCCTCCTGCCTGAAGTATAGGGTGCAATCATGACGGAAACCATCAGCAAGAATTTGCAAACTGCCAGAGATTTGTGGCAGATGGATTAGAAGAGGTTCCTGCTGGGGCCCCTGGGGGGCTCAGTCGGTTGAGCGTCCGACTTCAGCTCAGGTCATGATCTCGTGGTTCGTAAGTTTGAGCCCCGCGTCAGGCTCTGTGCTGACAGCTCGGAGCCTGGAGCCTGCTTTGGATTCTGTGTCTCCCTCTCTCTCTGCCCCTCCCCTGCTCATGCTCTGTCTCTCTCTCTCTCTCCCCCTCAAAAATAAATAAACACTAAAACATTTTTAAAAAGAGAGAGAAAGAGAGACCTGCTTCTCCAGAACAGACAGAGCACAGCTCCTTATGCTTTTACAGCAGAAAGGGCCGCAGGCAGAGCCCCCGCGGGCCTGGAGTTCACAGGAGAGAGACACGTGGCCAAACCATTTGTCCAGACAATAGATAAAGCAAAGGGGGCTTGGATCAGGGGCTGGTGACCAGTTTCAATAAAGGGCCAGATAGCAAATGAGGTGTGCTTTATGGATCACGTGGTCTCTGCCATCACTAAGTCATGAGCAGCCACGAATGAGATGTAGCAAATGGGCCAAACCCGGCCCACGCCTTACGCCCCCGTCTTCCATGACTGGTGTCTGATCATCCAAATACAGTTTTACAAAACCAAAGAATCGAGAAGGCGGGAAGACAAGACAGTCTTGACGAGGAGAAAGCAGCGACTGGCGGTCCTTCTTTACCAGCCTGAACCCACGGCTCCCTTTCCTACCAACCCGCTCAGGAAACCAGAGTGTGGCTTCCGGGCTACGATATGGTGGGGTCCCCTGTGGAAGGGGCGATCGAAATGCCAGACGGATCTTACCACCAGACACACTCCCCTGGTCCTCAATCCAGAGACAACCCCAGGAGCAGGACAGGAGGCAGACCAGGACCCTACCTCTTCTGGAGGAAGATCTCGCATCTTTTCTCCAAGGGCAGCGCCTGGGCGAAGGCCATGCTATCGGTCATGTCCGTTTGCGGAACGGTGCCAGGGTTACAGATGTTTTCCAGGAGTGGATAGGCCTTGAGATTAAAATAGAAAATAGAATTCTGGATGTCCTTGGCGTCCTCGGATTCAATTTCGTCAGGATGGTCCCCTGGGATGAAACAAAGACACGGCGTTTTTAGAGGGTTGCCCTTCTCTGTGGGCCGGGTGGGCACCTGGGGGTGACTCTCTGCTTGCAAAGGCTGGGCCATCGGCGCTGAGCTGTGAGGGGCTCACTTGATCGGGGGCAGCAGGGGTCTCTCGGGAACCCCGTGTTTTGGCTAAGTACCTCGTGAGGGGCTAAGCAGCAGCGTCCTTTCAGCCTGTGGCTCAGGGTCAAAGAGCGGGGAAGAGGTGGGGGGCGTCACCCTGTGCTTTGGGAAGGGACCGAAGCAAGGCAAACAGCAGTCCCCAGAGCCCCCCTCCCATACCTCGGAGCAGGAAACACGGGTGATCCAAAGGCACGACAAACACGGGCTTCCAGGGCACTGCCAGACAGTAGGTTCTGGGTGGAGCAAAGGCACAGATAACCTGAGGCTTGGCCACATCCATGAGCTGCACGGAGCCATTCCTGGAAAAGGTCAGCACCTGGCAAGCAAAGAGATGGTGACAGGGACTTCTCTGTCACGCCTGTTTGGAGTAAGAGAAGCAGCTGGACATAAAGACCAGCAACAGAGAGAACTGACTTGCTTGGGGAGCAGAGAGACATGTGTTAACTTCTCCGGTGAGCCCAGCATCAACGGGCCGTCTTCAGGTGCAGTGTCTGATCACCCCCCCCCCCCCCGCCCCTCCGGCCCCAGCTTCTCTTCTAGCTCAGCAGCATCCTGGCCCGGGCTCAGCACTGCCCTCTGCACACCTACTCTTTCCATTCTGTCCTCTGAGACCCCGCTCCAGCCCACAGCCCAGCCCCTCCTGGCCCTGGATCTGAGCCCGGCTGCTCTCCTGCCTGGGCCTCCCTGTAGAGGAACCGCTAGATGCGCCCCAATCTCCTGTGGTCCAGCTGCCACACCCCGTCCCCGCCCCTCACACTTCAACATCCAAGAGTGCGTCCTTGCCCTGTCCGCCCGCACTGTCATTTCCTCCCGAAAGCAGCCCCCCGCCCCCCCCCCGACTTCCGCAGGCTGCGGTGGGGTCCCCTCTCTCTGTTCCGCGGCATGCAGTGCCCAGCGCGTCACAGCCTCTCTCAGGGCAGCTGCGCGGTGATTGCCTGTCTTCCCAGCTGAACCGTGCGCTCCACCGGGATGGCGACTTGCTCTCGCGTCCCTGTGCGCCCCACAGCGAGTCTAGTGCCTCGCACTTGACGGGCCTTCAACAAACAGGTTTTGAAGGGAAAACAAACCCACTTGCTGACGAGGAGGGAGGGCGTGGGGAACCTACCACGCCGGGTAAGGCTGGGACCGGGGCCACTGCACAGATGGCTTCATCCAGGTTCTTTACGGGGCTGCGGGGAACCAGACACACACACACACGTTCGTCCTGGGCGGAGTTAAGGCTGTGCTACCTCTCCTGGGCCTGACCCAGGAGAGAGTCTTGTAAATAAGCATCAGGAGACATGTTAGAGACGGTTCATAGTAGCAGACACAGGGAACAATCGCCTGACCCCCTGGTAGGAGAATGCCTTGTTGTGATATATCATAGGATGGGATGCTGTAGAGCCAGGAAAATACAGCCTGCATTCGCCAACATGGGCGACTCTCCTGAACAAGTTACAGAATAAACAGACCCAAGAAACAAGCTAGAGAATACACAGCATAGGATTCCCTTTACAGATTCCCCAAATAGGCGCAGCCAATGTGTTCCTGGGAGTTACATGTGGCTAATTCTTATAGGAAAGCGAAGGAATGAATGATGAATTTTGGAAAACGACACTGTCGATTGGAAAAGAAACTGGCCATGGTATTTGGCGGCGACTCCCATCAAAAGGTGGAGTCAGTGTCTCCACTGCTTGACTGCGGGTGTGGCCACGTGCCGTGCTTTGTCCAGTGTAATAGGGCTTGGAAGGTGTGCCGTGTGGTTGCCCTGGCTTGCGGAGGGGACCCCTCAGGCTGTGGGGCGTTGGAGGCTGAGACGGCCCACGGGAGCCACCACGGGGAAGAGAACCAAGTGTCCTGGCCAATGGCCACCCAACTGCCACCTATGCAAGTGGGGCCGTCCCAGACCATCCAGCCCCCAGCCCAGCTGCTAGAGCCTAAGCAAGACTAGTGGAACAACTGGCCCAAATTGCTGACCTGCGAAATCGGGGGCTAAATAATGACTGTTTCCTTAAGCCATTAAGCTGTGGTATGGTTTGTAATATGTACAGCCACGATTACTAAGGGGGTCACCTCTGGGGAAGAGAGAGAAGGGTGTGACCAGAACAAGCACACAGAGAGCTTAACTGACTTGGAGATGATCTATTTCTTTTTTTTTTTTTTTAATGTGTGTTTATTTTTGAGAGAGGGAGACGGAGGGGGTGGGGGGAGAGAGAGAGAGAGAGGCAGAGGGAAGAGAAGAGAGAATCCTTCCCTGTCAGTGCAGAGCCCAATGTAGGGCTTGAATCCATGAACCTGAGATCATGCCCTGAGCTGAAACCAAGAGCTGGATGCTTAACCGACTGAGCCACCCAGGCATCCAGGAGATGATCTATTTCTTAAGGTTCATGATGGTACAAGGTAGTTTCTCTCACCCTCCCTCTCTCTCCTCCACTCTTCGTTTCCCTCTCTATATAGACACCCAAATACATATACACATACATCTATACTATATATAGTATGCATACATATATGGTGTGTATACAGCGATACCCTAGATATACACACGTACATATTATACAGCTCATTTGCACACATAAAGTATTTTCACAGCTTAAAAAAGAAAGAGACACTTGAGACCATTTAAAACAGGGACTCTCCAGGAAACTGTCATTTTGGCAGAAATGACACTCTGGTCATGCGGGACACGAAAGCTGTCCTTTGTGCCGCCGCACAGCTTTGTGAGACGAGTTTTTACATTGGCACGTATGAAGGACAGGGGACGCGGGATCTCACAGCGGGGGTGCCGACTGCGGAGCCTGTGGACTCCAGCGGGGGAGCCGGTCACTTCCGTCCGGCAGATCATTTGCCCCATCCTGCGCCCAGGCCACCGACCTCTCAACCAGCACACTGATGGTGGGTTCCCGGGCCCCCCTGGCCGTCACCAGATAGAGGGAGGAGTCTGTGCACAGCACCACACATTGCATCTGGGACTTCACAGGCGCCTCAGGATACACGTTCTGTCCCTCGTGGACCAAGTAGTGTTTTAGGAAGTGAATGCTCTGGCAGGAACATTCCTCGGGAAGAGCGACGACCCCAAGAGGGAAACCTGGAGAAACAGCCGCACAGGCAGGTCAGCAGAGGGGGCGCGCGGCTGACGCAGTCGTGGGCGCACGGTCTGTGACCAGCAGGCACATGAGGGATGCGAAGGCAAGAGCCAGCAATGAGAGCCTTCTGAAAGTGAAACCAGGAACCCCCCATGCCCAGCGGGAGAGAAGAGCCCCCCTTCTAAGTAGGCAGGGGACCGGGGGACGTGGAGGACCAGCCCCGGGGAGGGGGCCAGAGTCAGCACTGGGCCAGAAGGGGCAGTGCCCTGCCGAGCGCGGAACCACAGGTCAAGGTGTATCAGAGAGGAGGCGATCTCAGAAGGAGAGGGGGGTGTGTGTAGTCAGACAATATCCAGAATGTATCCATATCCAGACAAATGAAAACAAACTATTGAGCAAGTGAATGTGAAATTAATGAGCATTCTTCAGCCCTTTCAATGCCTTTCGCTATTGTAAGGAGGCTGTGGGTGAGGAACTAAAATTCAAGAGGGCGGGTAGTGTTTATGTCCCTACTATGTGGGCAGAGTGCCTGACGACCACTGAACCCTTCAGATGGAAATAGCCCAAGCGAGGAAGGCACTCCCCTGACTTGGCCCCTGAGATCGCCAGTGAGCAGGGCACTCTCTCTGGTCCTCACCCGCGCACTGGCTGGGAGGGCTGCCCAGGGAAGACAGGCCACCTCTACGCTCAGATGGGACACGCGTCCAATTGTAAAGTGACAAACCAGTGATTCAGTCATCACGTCTAAAACAGTTTGGTAAGAGGGAGCCAATCGCTTAGAGGCCGATCAGTTTAGGGAAACTAGATACCACCGATTTTCTGCACCTACAGAGCTGGAGCCAGGACCCTGGGAGCCCAGGACTCTAGCAAGGAGCCACCCACCCTGAATGGCTGCTGGTCTTGCACTGGCCACCCTATAGGTCTCTTAGCTTCAATACCAGTGGGGTTCCTGCTGACCCCGGTGGGGGGTAGAATCGCAGGAAGGAAGACTCGCTTATTTTGAGAACTTGGGGGCTGGTGGGGGGGCGGGGCAAGGCTGCCATGATATCACATGCTGTGCTGGAAGACACTTCCTCACCCGAGTGCTCCAGGGCGGGGCACGGAGGGAGCACTGAGCAAATACACGGGGATTGGGAGGTATCAGCACGTACTGTGTTCAATGAGTGTCTGTCTAATGAATGAATGAGGGGAAGGCGGGACCAACTCCCCGGGTTGACTTCAGAACGCAGAGTAACTAACAGAAGGCCCAGAGCCTGCAGGAATCTCAGAGCTCCCCGGAGGCTCATTACCCAGAGTCCCGTCTGGGGGTCATGCAGAGGTGGGGGCTCACCTTCGGCCAGGTCCCACAGCGTGAGCACGCCGTCCTCACAGGCCAGCACCAGGTAGGAGCAGCCGAAGCTGAGCCGCGAGGCGGTGATGGGCGCGGCACAGGGCCACACGCCCTCCGGGTCTAGTGGGGAGGACAGCACTCACGAGGCGCCCCCCACCCCGTCGCTGCACCTGCCCACCTCCTCCACCCTCACAGCTCGAGGCCCAGACTCGTCTGCCTGTCTGGGACACGGGCAGGGGCGCCTGCTGGGTCCTCTGCGGCACTCCCGCCTGCCTCAGGATGAAAGAGCAAGTCACACTGCTATTTGGCTGATGCTAACACTGAATAAGTACTCGCCAGGTGCTAAGCACCCATTAGCACCCGTATTTCACAGATGAGGAGACTGAGGCAGAGAAGTGACCTGCCCAAGGTCAGAGCCAGTCAGTACAGAGGTTGTGATTAGAAGCGATGCTGCCTGAGAGAGTGTTGGGAAGAGACAAAATTCTTCCTTTGTACATTTTCAAATGTTAAAGGAGAATTCTAAAGAATAGCATCCATGTACAGCTCATGGAATTACCGCAAAGCGAACCTGCTCCCAAAACCGCCTCCACGAATTTGTAAAAACCAAACAAAGACCACTAAGGGGTGGTCCTGAGTGCCTTTCAATTTCAAAGAGCTTTCACATACAGAAACCCTCTGGATTTTGCGATCCACGCCAAGCACGTGCAGCCAGCAGGGACGGTGTGATGAATGAATGAGCTCTGTGTTTCAGATGAGAATACAGGATTGGGGGCATGCAGTGACTGCCTGAAACTACACAGCTTGTGGGCTGCTGGGCCGGGGCTGGATCTGGCCCCTGATGCCAAGCCTCTTGTTACCTCAGTGGCCAGAGGAGCCCTGTGGACCTGACCGGGCTTTCTCCCTATCAACCTATTCTCTTTAAGAAACATGACCATTCAGGGGTGCCTGGGTGGCTCAGTTGGTGAAGCGACCCATTTTGGCTCAGGTCACGATTTTGCAGTCTGTGAGTTCAAGCCCCGCGTTGGGCTCTGTGCTGACAGCTCGGAGCCTGGAGCTGCTTCAGATTCTGTGTCTCCCTCTTTCTCTGCCCCACACCTGCTTCTTCTCTCTCTCTCTGTCTTTCAAAAATAAATCAATGTTAAAAAATTAAAAAAAAAAAAAACAGACGTGACTGTTCAGAGACAGAGCCTTGCGCTCACACCACAGCCCCTGAGCCCACTGCTTCTGCCTGCACAGCTCTGGTCCCCTAAAGTCCCCTAAAGTGACGTGTCAGTCATGTGCTCCCAGCTAAGCAGAAGGACATGTTCTCAGGCAACTCCCGTCTCAGCAGCCAAGTACCGACTTTATCCTTGAGAGTTCGGTTAAGTGAATAGAGGAAGAAGTTGTGACTTCCAGTCCAGTGTATGCCAAGGACACAGGCTACCCCTGGGAAAGAAGAGAGGAAAGGGGCGTCACGCGAGGCAGCTGGGCACTCCCTGGTTTGTGCGGAAGGTGTTTGCCCAAGAGGAGGTCGGTTTGAAGTCAAAGGTGGTGTGTTCTAACGGGCAGCGCCCAACGGAGGGCTGAGCCTCCTGGGGAGGAGGGCTGAGCACCCCCGGGGAGGAGGGCTGAGCACCCCCGGGGGGCTATTGGCACGGCCAGCTCGTCTTCCCGGGTGAGGAGGCTGGTCACAGTGCCCATCGTCTAGGTAATTCACATCCCCGTGGCTGTCAGTGTCTTAAATCCCATGTTCTACAGAATGAGTTCGTGTCCAGAGCGGCCCGGCAGGATATGTGTCAGACCCTCCTCCGTGGCCGGTACTCCCTGAAGACCACGCGGCCTCCGTTATCAGGGAGTCTGGGCTGGGGCACCACGCGTCCGGACACCGTTACGTGGCGACCTACTTTCCGCTTCATTCCCTCCCACCACGCAGGGGTCACTGGGGCGAGTGGACCACCTGCCCAGGATACCCACCCGCGTCGTGTTCGTTTACCTGGGGAGCTCTTGACGTCCGCTGGCGTGGCGGTTATGCAGCTAGGAAGGAGGAAGTAGAACGTGGCCGTACTGGGGGGAAGAAGAGAGACACTAGTCAGCCATGGCAGACTCCCTGGCAAGGAGAGACCCTGGCAGAGTCTTGGTACTGAAACCAGAAATGGGTCCTTAGGATGGGCCTTCCCAGGGGTGCCAGGCCATGCGGTGAATCACGTGGTATGTGCTGGCCCTGGTGGCCGCAGACCTTGGGCGTTGGTGAGGACAGGGGCAGGCCGAGCCGCGAGCGTCACTCCCAGGCTGGGAAGGGCACCCAGCACCCAGCAGAACTTCTCTGTCCTTGGGGCAGATCCCTCAGCAGCCAGACTTGGCTGCTCCCTTATGCTGGGGGCAATCCAACCAGCGTGTGCTAAGTCTGCTGTCCTTAACAAGGAGAGCCAACCGATTTCCTGATTTACAGAGTTTGTAGCTTCTTGCGGTATAAAGCCTCCCACCACAGACATTACCAGCAGTTTAACTACTAGCCTGCAAAATTCGTAAATACCCAGCTAGGTCCTCACTGGGGCTCGGGTAGCTTAGCTGCGAGGAGGGCGCAGCCCTAGGAGTTTGTGTCCCGAGGTGAGAAAATTCAAGGTGCACTTGACAGCAAAATGAGAGGTTTCTCTTCCCGTGTGAAGCAAGAAAGTTCCTGAGCTCCATGGTAGCTGTGAGGAGAGCCACTTCCTAAAACCAGCTCCACCAGCTCCTTCAAAGCGTTGGGCTAGGTTTTTGCAGTCACAGCAGGGGATTGCTGAGCCCCACCTGCAGCCTGAGGTTACAGAATAAGGTATTCTAGTAATTCTTTGTAATCTGTTACATTTAGAAAGACTGGATGGGAATGAAGGAAAATGTGAATAGTGGTGACTTTTTTTTTTAAATTTTTTTATTAAAAAAAATTTTTTTTAACATTTATTTGATTTTGAGACAGAGAGAGAGAGAGGGAGACACAGAATCTGAAACAGGCTCCCGGTTCTGAGCTGTCAGCACAGACCCCGACACGGGGTTCAAACCCATGACCGCGAGATCATGACCTGAGCCAAAGTCAGACGTTTAACCGACTGAGCCACCCAGGCGCCCCTACTGGTGACTTTTAGTTCTGTCTTTAGGATCTTCTGTGTCTAGATAATCGGGGTGGGGGGGGGGACATTTTTTTAAAGAGAAGACACATAAAAGTGTAAAATAAACTCTACTTTTCGTCTCATAGATGTCTATTCCCTCTTTGAAATCCGCCTGATCAGTCTCTGTTCTAACTCTCTTTGAAGAATCTCCACACACCTTTTCAAAACCCTCTGCTGAAAATCCCCCAAACCAGAAAGAGCTTTTAAACTGAGGATTAATTCAAGTGCTTGGGTGGATTCCTGCGAGTGTCCAGCCCCTCCCCCCACCCACCCCGGCTGCCGGGAGGCGGGGCCTCCTTCGCGCTCACCTGAGCCGCTCCTCCTCCCACTCCCCATCCAGGTACTTCTTGAACGAGGCTTTGAAGATGGCCGCCTGCTGCTCCCACTGAATGTCCTTGATGAAGTGGTTCTGCCCTGAGCCCAGCCCGTAGCAGTCCTCTATCCTTGCAAAGACTTCCAGGGGGCTCTTAAAGGTGGTACCTGGGTGGAAAAGATCCCAGAATCGGTCAGACCATGGGACGTCCCCCTTCCTGATTTTTCCCTTCCTTCTGAGAGACCTCCCTTTCCAAAGGAGACTCACCAAGAACAAAGCCCACAAAACACAAAGGAGTTGGTTACTCAGGTTTATTTTAGTCCGGCCGGACAGCCCCTCCTGAGCACCTGAAAAGTCCTCGGAAGAGCGCCCGCCGAGCTATAGCTCAGGGTTTATATAGGGAGAGGGGCGAAGCAGGTGTACAGAAGTGGGAATTTTGCGGCTAGAGGTGGGGGTTGCTTAACAGTTGCTTGAAAAGCCTGTTGACTGTTTTAATCCCAATGTTCGTTATTAAAGATTTGCATCTCAGGGACTGGCTGGAGCCAGGAGGAGCCAGGTTGCTCAACTCCTGACCTTTTACCAGAATGGAGTTTGAGATCCATTTGGTGGTGGATAGTAGTTTGTTCCTTTTTATTGATAATATTCCATCAAGTGAATATATGTTCTCTTGTTGATCGACATTTTGGTTGTTTCTTGTTTGGGGCTATGGAGACTCTTGTCACTGTTACGGTTCTTGACGTGTCTCCGCGTATGCATTTACTTGCAAACCTGTCAGATACATACCTAGGAGGAGGGTGACCACTTCACCCTGGTTTGCTCAGGAGTTCCGTGGTTTTAGCACTGAAAGCCCCACATCCCAGGAGACCAACCCCTGTCCCACGCAAGCTGGTATGGTCAGTCACACGGCCTCCGAGTGTAACCGCTGGGTCTCAGGGTATAAATTATTGTCAACACCACTAGGTCATACCAAACTGTTTTCCAAAGTGGTTGTGCTGATTTTTATTGCTAACTGCAGTCTATGGGATTCCATGTCCTCACCAACTTGGTATGGTCCGCCTCTTAGATGTTGCCATCATGATGGGTGTGGAGTGGTAGCTCATTATGGTTTTACTTTGCATTTCCATGGTAACTAATGGTGTGGAGTACTATGTTCACATGTTTATTGGCCATTTGAATAATCTCTTCCCTGTTTTATACTGAAGTATCTTTTTTCCTTAATAAGCTGTAGGAATTCTTTATATATTCTCAATATGGACCATTCATAAGTTTTATGTGTTTTGTAAAAATCTTCTCCCACTGTATTGCTCTTTCATGCTTTTAATGATGTTTTAGGATGACTAGAAGTCCTTAATCTTAGTGGCCAAATTTATCAAGTTTTTCTTTTATTATACATCCTTTTTGTGTTTTGCTTAAAAAGTCTTTCCCTACCCAGAAATCATAAAGATACTGTCTTATATTATTTTCTGAAAGCTTTATTGTTCTCTCTTTCATATTTGCTTCTATGGGTCATCTGGAATTTGGTTTTGTGTATGGTGTGAGCCAGGAGTCAAGTCTCACTTTTGTTTCCATATGGACACCCAGCACCATTTATGGAAATGACCATTGTTTCTCCCCTGCTCTGTAATGTCACCTCTGTCAGGTATCAAGTGTCCAGTTATGCCTTGGTCTGTTCTGACCTATCATGTTTCATTCATCTATTTTTCTATCTACTATAATCTATGATTTCTACCTATATTTCTATATTTTAGGTATACTTCTATTATTCACTCATCTATTTTTCTAGTCTTTTTTTTTAATATTTTTATTAATTTCTAGGAGAGAGAGAGAGAGAGAGAGAGATAGCGTGAGCAGGGGAGGGTCAGAGAGAGAGAGGGAGACACAGACTCTGAAATAGGCTCCAGGCTCCGAGCTGGCAGTCAGCACAGAGCCCGACGCGGGGCTCGAACCCACAAACCGTGAGATCATGACCTAAGTGAAAGTCAGACGCTTAACCGACTAAGCCACCCAGGCGCCCCTATTTTTCTAGTCTTAATTACTGTAGCTTTATAATACATCTTGATGGAGCAAATCATATCATCATGTTCTTTTACAAGAGTGAATTGGCTATTCTTGGCCTCTTGAATTTCCTTCTTTGTTTTTCATAGTTGCAAAGTATTCCTTTGGATGAGTGTACCAGGTTTTATTTAGTCTTTTGCCTCTATAAATAACACTGCGGTGAACATTCTTATAGATATGTCTTTGAGGTTATGGGCAGGTATTGAGAGGATATACTCCATCTTCTGTCTACAATGGACTTATCCTCTGCTCCCCTTGACCTACTCCACTTGTCCTTCAAAACCTTCCCAAATATCCCTACCTTTGATAAAGCCTTTGCCTACTCCATGGGAAGGGTTAGTCACTCTTTCCTCTATGTTTTCATAGCCCTAAATGTTCGCCATTGCTGCACTTATCACATCCTACAATGCCACTTTCCTTTTATTTTCCCTTGGTAGAATGGCAGCTTTTAGAGTATGGAAGATGTGTCTTACTCCTCTGTGCGCTTGGTGCATCACTGGCACTCAGCAAATCCTGATGAGTGTACTAACACGGGAATATAGAAATGAATGAACTCCAGCTAGATTCTTGTTTTTCCTGATTTTCCAATTCTGTTCATTAACTGTGTCCTTGTAACATTTATATTTTTGTCCTTAGATCCCAGAGTTTATGACTTTAAAAAAGTTTCCTTCTCAGAACTATACTTGTAATTTAGGTATTGCTGATAATAGCTAGAAAAGATGGGAAATGTGGAGGAAAGCAAAGGAAGAAAAAGCAGAAATTAATGTCAGAAAGAAAGAGAGTATTAGTTGAATTATACTAACCTGTAACTGGTTTGGGTGGTTTGATCTTCATGATGTGAACTGGAGGACTCAACTTAATGTCTCCTCTAAAACAAATGTTTACATCCTACAAGAAGGAAAAGGCATAGCTAATAAGCCAACGAAGGAGATGTAACAGAATCATTAAAAACACATCCCAAAAGAAGACAGAAAAAGAGGGAAGAGGAAGAAAAACAGATGGGACAAATAGAAAGTAAATAGCAAAGTGATTTATTTAAATCCAAATGTATCAACAATCGCATTAAATATAAATGGTCTAACTACCCAAATAAAAGGTAGAGATTGTCAGATTGTATAAAAAGGTAAGACCCAGAGTACATGGGTGGCTCAGTCCGTTAAGCTTCTGACTCTGGCTCAGGTCATGATCTTATGGTTTATGGATTTGAGCCCTGTATTGGGTTCTCTGCTGTCAGGACAGAGCCCACCTCAGATCCTCTGTTTCCCTCTCTCTCTCTGTCCCTCCCCTGCTCTCTCTCTCTCTCTCTCTCTCTCAAAAATAAATAAATAAACTTTTAAAAAGGTAAGACCCAATTATATGTTGTCAAAAAGAAACTCATTTTATTTTTTTATTTTTTTTTTAATTTTTTTAATGTTTTTTATTTATTTCTAGGAGAGAGAGAGACAGCGTGAGCAGGGGAGGGTCAGAGAGAGAGAGGGAGTCACAGACTGAAACAGGCTCCAGGCTCTGAGCTGGCAGTCAGCACAGAGCCCGACGTGGGGCTCGAACCCACGAACCGCGAGACCATGACCTAAGCGAAAGTCGGACGCTCAACCGACTAAGCCACCCAGGCGCCCCAAAAAGAAACTCATTTTAAATACAAAGACATCAATTTATTACAAATATAAGAAAAGATCCATCTTATAAAACTAATCAAAAGAAAGATGGGGTGGCTATATTAATATCTGACATAATAGATTTCAGAGAAAAGAATATTACCAGGAATAAAAGACTCACTGAATAGTGATAAAATGGTCAGTTCATCAAGAAGACATAACATTCCAAATGTTTATGCACCTAATAAGAGAGCTTCAAAATACAGAAAGCAAAGATTCATCAAAATGAAAACTGAAATAGATAAATCTGTAATCTTAGATATTTGAATACTCCTCTCCCAATAACTGATAGAATAGACAGACAATCAGTAAGAATATAGTAAGGATATAGAAGGAAAAGCAGACTTAAATAACTTGACCAATAGTTAACTATTGGTCTAACTATTAATAATAATAACTTGACCAAAATACACATTTTTTTCAAGTGCATGTAGAACACTTACCAACAACATAAACCATATTCTGGGCATTAAAAAAAACTTAATAAATTTAAAAGGTTTCAAATTATATGAAGTATGTTGTCTAGTCACAATGGAATTAGAAACCAAAAAAAAAGAAAACTATTTGAAACATCTCCAGTATTTAGCACACTAAATTAATATGCTTCTAAATACTTCACTGGTCAAACAAATTTTTAAAAAGCAAATTAGGAAGTATTTTGAGGTATTTTTAAAAATGGGAACATCTCATCAAAATATAAAGAATGCAGCTCAAACAGTGCTTAGAAGTAAATTTATAGCACTAAATGCCTATATCAGAAAAGAAGATCTCAAATGAATGACCTAGCTCTCTACCTTAAGAAACTAGAAGGCAAGGAAAAACTTAAACCAAAAGTAAGCAGAAGAAAGGAAATAATAAAAATCAAATTTGAAACTAGTCAGATAGAAAACAAAAAAAAGTAGAGACAGGGGCACTTGGGTGGCTCAGGTGGTTAAGCGTCCTACTTCGGCTCAGGTCATGATCTCATGGTCTGTGAGTTCGAGCCCCACATTGGGCTCTGTGTTGACAGCTCAAAGCCTGGAGTCTGCTTCAGATTCTGTGTTTCCTCTCTCTCTGTCCCTCCCCAGCTTGTGCTTGCTTTCTCTCTCTCTCTCTCTCTCTCTCAAAACAAACTTAAAAATTTTTTAAAAAGTGGAGACAAAGAAAAAACAGGTTCTTTGATAAGATTAAGAAAATTGACAAAACTCTAGCCAAGCTGATTAAGAAAAAAAAGAGAAAACACAAATCACCAATATCAGAAATGAAGAAAATGACATCAAAACAGATTTTATAGATAATAAAAGGATAATAAGAGAATGTTAACCATTTTAAGCCAATGCATTTGATAACTTAGATTAAATGGACAAGTTCTTTAAACGACACAAAATACAAAAGTTTGCTTAAAAAGAGAGAGATACCTGGAGTGCCTGGCTGACTCAGTCAGAAGAGTGTGTGACTCTCAATCTTGAGGTCTGAGTTGCAGCCCCATGTTGGGGGTAGCAATTACTTTTTTTTTTTTAATTTTTTTTTAATGTTTCATTTATTTCTAGGAGAGAGAGACAGCGTGAGCAGGGGAGGGTCAGAGAGAGAGGGAGTGACAGACTCTGAAACAGGCTCCAGGCTCTGAGCTGGCAGTCAGCGCAGACCCTGACGCGGGGCTTGAACCCACGAACCGCGAGATCATGATCCAAGCGAAAGTCGGACGCTTAAACGACTAAGCCACCCAGGCGCCCCAGCAATTACTTAAATAAATACAAACTTAAGAAGAAAGAGATAACCCTTTGTCACTAAAGACACTGAATTTGTAGTTCCAAAAGGAAAACTCCGTGGCTAGATGGTTTTCCTGGTAAATTCTATCAAATGTTTTAGGAAGAAATAATACCAATTCTACACAAACTCTTCCAGAAAATAGAACAGGAACACTCTAACTTATTATATGAGGTCAGCGTCATCCTGATACCACAACCAAAAGATGTCAGAAAAATATGAAACTGGGGTGCCTGGCTGGCTCAGTCAGTGGAGTGTACAATGCTTAATCTCAGGGTTGTGAGTTTGAGCCCCACATTGGGTGCAGAGATTACTTAAAAATAAAATCTTAAAAACAAAATGAAACAAAACAAAAAATGTCCTTCATGAACACAGATGTAAAATTTATTAACAAAATATTGGGAAGCTAAAATCAGTCAGTTAGAGCCATTGTAAACAAGAAAGGGGACCAATGTAAGAGACAGGTTTTAATTTCTATACTAAAGGAGAAACATATTTACATATGTCTATAGTTATATATCTACACTAATAAATTAACTGCATTCTGACTGATATTGGCTCAAAAATTTTTTAAATGATGGACTAATAACCATAGAAGAAATTGAAAATATAGGACTTTTATAGACTTAGAGGGTAAAAAAAAAAAAAAAGGACATCCAGCTTTCTTTACAAGGCTAGCCTAACACTAATACCAAACGCTGTTAAGAAAACCACAATAGGCTAATCTCATGTTTGAATTTATTTTATTTTATTTTATTATTTTTTTTAATGTTTTATTTATTTTTAGGAGAGAGAGAGAGAGACAGCGTGAGCAGGGGAGGGTGAGAGAGAGAGGGAGATACAGAATCTGAAACAGGCTCCGGGCTCTGAGCTGTCAGCACAGAGCCCGACGCGGGGCTCGAACCCACGAACTGTGAGATCATGACCCAAGCGAAAGTCGGACACTTAACTGACTAAGCCACCCAGGTGCCCCTCATGTTTGAATTTAGATATTATCTCTATGAATACGTAACTATCAGTTTGCTTTGCTGGTATTTTATTTGGGACTTTAATATTAGCAAAAACAAGCTGAAGCATAATTAAATGAATTATTACCAAGCATGGATTACCCAAGAATGGGAGTAAGAAAGTTTTGGAGCTCCTGAGCAGCTCAATTGGTTAAGCATCCAACTCTTTTTTTTAAATTTTTTTTTTGTATTTATTTCTGAGAGAGACAGACAGACAGAATGAACAGGGAAGGGTCAGAGAATGAGGGAGATACAGAATCCAAAACAGGCTCCAGGCTCTGAGCTGTCAGCACAGAGCCCGATGCGGGGCTCGAACCCACGAACCGTGAGATCAGGACCTGAGCCAAAGTCGGACACTTAACCGATTGAGCCACCCAGGTGCCCCAAGTGTCCAACTCTTGATTTTGGCTCAGGTCATGATCTCACAGTCTGTGAGATCAAGCCCCGTGTCGGGCATCATGCTAACAGCACAGAGCGTGTTTGGGATTCTTTCTGTCTCTCTCTCTCTGCCCCTCCCCCCGACTCACACCCACACATGTACTCTCTCTCTCAAAATCAATAAACATTAAAAATATTTTAAAAAGAATGTTTCAACATTAGAAAATCTATTAATGCAGTCTACTACATTAGCGGATTAAGGAAGATGCGTCTTCTCAAAAGATGAGGAGAAAGTATTTGGTGAAGGTCAATGTCCATTCCTAATTAAAACAAAAATTTTCAATGTTTATTTATATTTGACAGAGAGAGAGACAGAGACAGAATATGAGCAGGGTAGGGACAGACAGTGAGGGAGACAGAGAATCCGAAGCAGGCTCCAGGCTCCAAGTTGTCAGCACAGAGCCCGATGCGGAGCTCAGACCCATGAACTGCGAGATCATGACCTGAGCCGAAGTCGGACGCTTAACCAACTGAGCCACCCAGGCACCCTAATGTTTATTTTTGAGAGAGAGCACGCGTGCACACATATGTGTGCCCACGTGAGTGGAGGGAGTGTAGTAAAGGAGCAGAGAGTGAGAGGGGTGACAGAGGATCTGAAGCAGGCTCCATGCTGACAGCACAGAGCCCAATGCGGGGCTCAAACTCACAAACCCTGAGATCATGACCTGAGCTGAAGTTGGATGCTTAACCACCAGGTTAGCCACCAGCTTAGCCACCAGGTGCCCCCAAAACTGTATTTTTTTAAAATAAACGGATATAAGAATATAATTGTACACTTACACTGAAGATCAAGAAAACACGCATCGAGCTAATAACGGTGATAACCTGTGAAGAGGCCTGCTCTCTCTGAATTACCTGGCTTTTTCTAGAGTGATGTGTTCATGTACTGTTTGTATAATTTGAAATATAATGTAATTTAAAAAGAGGGAAAAGAGAGGGCTCTAGAGAGACTTCCATTGGAGGTCACCACTACTCTACTGATAAGCCTGAGTCCTCCCAAGAGCTGAGCCCCTGGAGAGCATGGTGTGCTGTCATCGTCAAAGGGAGAGCCCGGAAGCCCCCGGGGTGGGGGGGTGGGGGCGCTCTGTTCTCTGAGGTATCCTAGTACAAAGATGAACCCCCAGGAAACCTGGCTTGGTGAAATGGGCTGTTGTTTTGGCAGGGGCAAAGAGGGTTTCATGGGACTTGCGGAGGGGGGGTGCTGGGTATACACATTTTAGGGGCCTCTCTAAAAGAAAGAACACAAAACTTTCAACGCAAAATGCCCATGGCCACCCTAATACCATCCAATACAGGGGGAAGTATGACAGGGGAAGTCTGAGTGAAAACAGACAGTGGTCGGGGCGCCTGGGTGGCTTAGTCAGTTAAGCATCTGACTTTTGCTTAGGTCATGATCTCGCGGTTCGTGGGTTCGAGCCCCGCGTCGGTCTCTGTGCTGACTGCCAGCTCAGAGCCTAGAGCCTATTTCAGAGTCTGTATCTCCCTCTCTCTCTGACCCTCCCCTGCTCACGCTGTCTCTCTCTCTCTCTCTCCTAGAAATAAATAAAAATATTTTAAAAAACAAAAAACAAAAACAGACAGTAGTCCTAAGTGATTGTGGTTAAAATATTTTGGTAATTTTACAAAAAAATACGTGTGAACACATTGGTAGGACCCGTCACAGGGTCTTGGAAGGGGCCATACAAGTGAGGGGCCCTGAAATTTAACCTCCTATGCCTCCTTGGAAACCCATCTCCAGACAAACGACTTGGGTCAATTATCCTCAAGGATAGGGGACCATTCTCCATGGACATGAGGCATGAGATTAAATCATAGAGAATTTGAAAATAGTGCCATAGTGGAACATTTTACTAGTATACTTGATGATTAAACTAACTTTCAAGTCATATTAAAAATCTGTGGCATGTAAATTGAATCTGTTTCCCTGGAGATTTTCTTTAAAGTCCCTTACCGTTTCCAAATTCTCTGAAGTCACGGAATCAAGAGTATTCTGAGGATAAAAAGTGAGAAATTAATTCACAATAGGCTTGCTGTGTGTCACACACACACACCCCTTTAATCTCTTTCTTCCCCTGTTACTATTCTCAGTAGTGACCTCATTCGGTAGAAACGGAGGATCCAGATTTGTGTGGCCCTCTGGCCTGATGGATTTTAACACACCATCCCTACTGTCTAAGATCTTAAAATGTAGTAGGGGAAACTGGGAATAGTGATCGGAGGAAAAATGAATGAACAGAGGTAAAGAGATCGGTCAGGAGCCTATTATAAAAATCTAAGTGGAAGTGAATATTCGTGATGGGCAAAATATATTGAGGATGTTGGCAATTTCATTTAACCAACTCTAAATGTAATTCATAGCCACCAGGACTAGCCCTGGAACTGGCGTTAGTTGGTTGCTTCTCAGTGTATGGAAACTGGGTGAATTATGGTGAGAAATACCCTTTTCCAAGTAGTTTTCCCGGTTAGATAAGAAATTAAACCCTCGAAAAATGTATCTGTTGGATACTGACTATGATACTGTGCAGTTGGTTCATAAGGTTGGTTAATAAGGAGCAGAAAGTATGTTCTTAACAATCCAGAAAATTATCATCCAGTTAATTAAAAAAAAACTTTTACGCACAGAAGGATAACTAAAAATCAAGGTTGTGTGTGGGGAAATGCCCAAAACGATGTACAAGAAATAAATTCTGTTTTGTTCTGTTTTGTTTTAGAATTTATTTCTGAGAGAGAGAGACAGCATGAGCAGGGAAGGATCAGAGAGAGAGGGAGACACAGAATCTGTTTGTTTGTTTGTTTGTTTTTTAATATTTTTATTTATTTCTAGGAGAGAGAGAAACAGCGTGAGCAGCGGAGGGTCAGAGAGAGAGGGAGTCACAGACTGAAGCAGGCTCCAGGCTCTGAGCTGGCAGTCAGCACAGAGCCCGACGCGGGGCTCGAACCCACGAACCGCGAGATCATGACCTAAGCGAAAGTCGGACGCTTAACCGACTAAGCCACCCAGGCGCCCCGGGAGACACAGAATCTGAAACAGGCTCCAGGCTCTGAGCTGTCAGCACAGAGCCTGACACAGGGCTCCAACCCGCGAACCGTGAGATCATGACCTGAGCCGAAGTTGGACACTTAACCGGCTGAGCCACCCAGGTGCCCCTGAATTCTATAAGAGTTTAGAGGAGGAAGATCTCTGGGCTGGTAACTCTTCCAGTGGTCAGGACTACATCCCCCTTTGAAGACCTCCACTAGGAAGAAAAGGCATTTGTTTGAAGCCACTCAATGAACTCAGCCATGAATGTGAGTCTCAATCTCGCTCTCCTATATTAATAATTTCACAAGTCTTTAGCACCTGATACGGTGTGTTTTAAAAGCTCACCCAATTAATAATTGTTGTTGGTTAGAAACGAATAAATGCATATTGGATGGATAAGCAGATCAGGTCTCAAAATAATATTTACTGGGGAGCCATATTTTAAAGACACAACACAAGGCCCACATATAATGAAATGGAAATGGGGGCCTGTGGCTGGCTCAGTTGGTAAAGCATGCAACTCTAGATTTCAGGGTTGTGATTCTGAGCCCTGTGTTGGACATAGAGATTACTTAAAAAATTAAAAATATAAAAAATAAACTGAAATGGCAGCATTCCCAATTTCTAAGAATAATATGAAGAATGTATGTACCATATTCCTCTCTATCGAGAACAACCTGTTTATACCATAGTCTGGGAAATCCAGGGGAATGCAAGGCATGAAGGGATTATTTCAGCCCAGATGGGGAAAAAATCACCAATGAGGCAGAGTCAGGATAAAAGACACCCCCTCCACCCCCCCAGCCAGGAAATACCTGGGAGTGGTCTTCGTGGAGGCAGCTCTCGGACAAGAGACAGGTGAGGCTCCCCCCTGCTAAAGTCACCTCTATTGTTTAATATTTTAACCAAAGCGAATCGATTTTGGAGTCATGGGCTGGCAGGCCTGTTGTCCTTACAGCCTCCACCGGACCCCATTCATCTTGAAATTCCAAGGAGGAATTCGTTTGGATGTGGGTCAAGGGTAGGGAGAAACCTATCAGTGGGAAAGGGAGATGTTTCCTACCAGTTGCAGCTGCTTGACTTTCTTCTTTGGATTTATAGCAGGTTGGGGGTGCTCCACTTCCTTGACCCAAGACTCCTTGGGCAATTTATACACATCCAGCCAAATATCTCCGGCGCCTGCATTGGGAAACCAAGGAATCGTTGAGCAACCTCAGGCAGGCGACAAGTCTCCCATGAGGAATGGCCTATCTTCTCAGAACCCCTGGCCTGGAGACCCCGCAGGCACCCTGGGAACGGCAACTTTGACAAATTGAAGGTGATGTCATTGCAAGTCCTCACTCAGGGAGAGCTGGAGAGCCCCTCCCATCGGGCCTCCGCCATCTGAAGGAAACAGGGCCCCTCATGCTTACAGCACTGATATAACTGTTTTTAACCAAGCTGTCTGCTCTGCCTGGTCCCCATGTTTTCTAGGCTTCAAATGGTAAATTCCACCAGCATTTTGTCTTACAGCTTTTCCTGTCTGGGGAGGAAGGTGGTATAAACAGACTCAGTGGCTGAGAGGGGCATGGCTAAGGGCTAGAATTGGGAGAGGTCCCTTAAGAACATTCTTCTGGGTGATATTAGAAGAAATCGCAACCCATGAAGTGTCTGTGGGGCTTTAACTCATTATAGAAACACACTCAGCTTGGGGCGCCTGGGTGGCTCAGTCGGATAAGCATCCGACTTCAGCTCAGGTCATGATCTCACAGTTCGTGGGTTTGAGCCCTGCGTCAGGTTCTATGCTGACAGCTAGCTCAGAGCCTGGAGCCTGTTTCAGATTCTGTGTCTCCCTCGCTCTCTGACCCTCCCCTGCTCACACTATCTCTCTCTCTTCGAAATAAATAAAACATTAAAAAAAAAAAAAAAAGAAAGAAACACACTCAGCTTCTGTACGGACTTCCTGCCAACCTGGGAAGGCTTGCTTTCCCATGGTGTGGGGATCTGGCTAAGTGTTCTCTCTAAAAAGTAGTTATCTGGACGCCTGGATTTCAGACTTCTGGCCCCCAGTCCTCCAAGAGAATAAATATCTTTGGTTTTGAGCCACCCAGTTTGTGGTACTTGGTTGGGGCCACCCCAGGAACTACTATAGAGTATAAAAGCTTCCTTTGGTGCATAAAGCATTATGAAATATATGCTTTCTCAAGCATTTCACGTTTGAGGGGCCTGGGGCAAGAGTATAGAGGCTTGGAGTTAAAAATCAAGCTAAGAATCACTTGAATAAAATACATCCTATCACCACAGTAATAATTACAGTATGGAAGATCCAAAGACGAATGCTAGAATTGGTGGGCCGTAGTTTAAGGGGAAATCTCATAGGTGCGTTGCCCCCAAATTCTTTGATCCTCCTACCTCTAGGAAGAGAGGCTTAGATCCTCTGCCCCAGGTGTGGTCCGGGCGTAGTGACTTGCTTCTAACAGAGTGTGGGAAGGGAAGTGTATTATCCGTGGAGGAACCCGGCACATACCAGTTAAGTAGGCGATGGGGCTAGCAGATACACCCCTATGTTCAGTGACAAGAGCACTTCAACCCTGTGGCCTCTCCCCCAAATCCTTAACCCCGGTTGAATCGTGAGAAAAATATCAGGCAAATTGAAATTGAGGGACATTGTGCAAAATACGTGACTGGTATTCTTCCAAAGTGTCAAGGGGTGTTCTTCAAAAAAGGGTCAAGGTCATGAAAAACAAGGAGAGACCAAGAAATTGTCACAGATGGTAGAAGACGAAGAAGACACGATGAGTAAACATAATATATCCTGCATTGAGCCTTGGGACTGAAATATTAGTGGAAAAGCTGGTGAGAAATATGGGGGAGAAAACCCTTTAGTTAATAGTAGTATGCCAATTTCATTGCTTAATTTTGACAAGTGGTCATGTTTAATGTCGGTATTGGAGAAGCTGGGCAAAGGGTGCAGGGGAAGTCTGTGCCTATCTTTATAGCTCTTCTGTAAATCTTTGCAGTGCTTCTGTAAGTTATTTCTAAATAAAAGATTTGGGAAAAAAGGTGGTTGTCTGGAAGGGACTGCAAATCTGAACCTTCTCAACAGCCTTTGGTTAATCTTGCCTTGTAGGAGGAAGGCTGCGAAGTCCCCTCCGTGAGAGATCTCCATCTTCAGACAGGTGGTTTGCTTGCTGGTATCATCCTGAAAAGAAGACAGGCAGAAAGAGGGAGCTCAGCCTGAGGACAGAGAGGAATGTGTTTCGGGGTCTTTTAGGGTTGACACTGGGGAACATAAATCCTTTTAAAGCTTGTGACACAAACAGATGCCTCAAACTGCTTCATACTACTTCCCATTTCTGTCCGGGAGTTGGACAAGATCGTATGTAAAGAAGCAGAACTCGATTTTCCGCCTCAACGTTTTTGGACTCGCTTCCTGGTTTCTTAAATACTCCGGATGATGGTGGTGATTGCATACTATCTGTTCTCCTGGTCAAAGCTGCAAACTATAAGGACCTGTACCAGCACTCAGTTATTCAAAAATGAGATGAAGTTAGTTCTCCAGGACACTGAAAACTCTGGTCAGTTACTTGAAGAAAGGCTCTATCTCGACCTGAGCAGCGCCTCCCGCTGTCCTGGCTGCTATAACAAAATACCATGGACTGGATGGCTCACAAACAATAAACCTTTATCTCTCACAGTCCCCGAGGCTGGAAACCCAAGGTTTCCAAGGACTTCAAGAACCTGGCCGATGCAGTGCCTGTTAAGGGTCCATTTCCTGGTTCACAGATTTCCTGTCTGCCACATTCCGGCCATGTCTTCACATGGTGGAAGGGTTGAGGGAGCTCTCCCGGGCCTCATATAAGGGCACTAATCCCTTGCCCTTGCCCTTGATGAAGACACTGTTTTCATGAGCAAAACACCTTCCAAAGGCCCCACCTCCTAATATCATCACAGTGGGGGCTAGGATTTCAACCCAAATTTTGCAGGGACATAAACATTCAGTCCATAACAAGCAGAGACTGACTGTAACCCCAGTATGAAATCTACTCAAATTTCAGGCCACGTGAGAGACTCCATGTTTATGGTTGTCTGTGGCTTGCTCTTTAATTTCCTTAATTGTATCTTTAAAATAACAAAGATAGTTATTATTAGTATTAGTATTTTAAGTTTATTTTGAAAGAGAGAGGATGAGCAGGGGAGGGGCAGAGAGAGAGGGGGACAGAGGATCCAAAGCGGGCTCTGCTGACAGCAGAGAGCCAGATGCGGGCCTCGAACTCACGAACCGTGAGATCATGATCTGAGCTGAAGTTGGATGCTTAACCAACGGAGCCACTCAGGCACCCCAAAGATAAGTATTATTATTAAGACCTTTATTCAGGTTCGGTGCTGAGAGCTTGGAGCCTGCTTCAGATTCTGTGTCTCCCTCTCTCTCCTCCCCAGCCCTCGCTCTCTCTCAAAAATGAATAAACATTAAAAAAAAAAAAAGAACTTTATTAACAGGTGCTTACATTTTGTTGACTTTTTTGAAAAAAAAATCAAGTTATAATGTTTTACTGCAAATTAAAAACGAGGTGCTTAAAAATCTCAACTTGGCTAGATATGAAACAATTTTAAAGCCTTTCAAAGGGTATATTTTAAAAAAAAACCAGGCTTTTTGAAAAACTCATTTGGTATTACCAAAAAGAGACATCTTCAGGTAAAATTAAAAATCAGGGGTGCCTGGGTGGCTCAGTCAGTTGACCCTCTGACTCTTGATTTCTGCTCAGGTCATGATCTTGCATTTGGTGAGATCGAGGCTCACATGGGGCTCTGCCCTGCAGTGTGGAGCCTGCTTGGGATTCTCCTCCTCCTCTCTCTGCCCTTCCCGTGCTTCTGCAGCTTCTTTCTCAAAATAAATAAACAAACATAAAAAATACTAAATAAAAACCAGATGCTGGCACAGATAATGGTACTAGTTCTAGTTGTCTGGTCAGCGGTGGAAAAACAAGCACTTAAGGTCTTCAGCTCCAGTCTCTCGTTTGCCCCTTACTGCTGGGATTTCATAATCATTTCTTTTCTGTTTCCCCCACCCGCCAGTCACCTCCCCTCTGGCAACCACCGATCACTTCTCTGTATTTAAGAGTCTGTTTCTTCTTTTTTTTTTCTTAATTCCACATATGAGCAAAATCATATGGTATTTGTCTTTCATCTTGTTTTGCATAATACTCTCTAGCTCCATCCATGTTGTTGCAAATGATAGGATTTCGTTCTCTTTACATGGCTGAATAATTGTGTGTGTGTGTGTGTGTGTGTGTGTGTGTGTGCGCGCGCGCGCGCACGTGTGTATTACATCTTTTGTATCCATTCATCAGTCTATGGACCCTTGGGTTGCTTCCATACTTTAGCTACTTTAAATATTGCTGCAGTAGACACAGAGAGGTACATCTATCTTTAGTGTTTTCATTTTCTTTGGTTAAATCCCTACAAGTGGAATTACTGGATCATTTGGTAGTTCTATTTTTAATTTTCTGAGGCACCTCCACACTGTTTTCCAGAGTGGCTGTACCAGTTGGTATTCCCAACAATATTGCAGGAGGGTTCTTTTTTCTCCACATCCTCGCTAATACTTGTTATTCCTGTCCTTTTGAGTCTAGCCGTCCTGAGAGGTATGCGGCGATATCTCATTGTGGTTCTGACTTGCCTTTCCCTGATGATGAGTCATGTTGAGCATCTTTTCATGTGTCTATTGGCCATCTAGATGTCTTCTTTAGAGAAATGTCTGTTCATGTCTGTTGCCCATTTTTTAATTGGATTATTTGGTTTTTGGGTGTTGAGTTGTATCAGTGCTTTGTATAGTTTGGATCCTAACTCTTTATCAGGTGTATCATTTGCAGATATCTTCTCCCATTCTGTAGGTTGCCTTGTCATTTTGTTGAAGGTTTCCTTCACCTTGCAGAAGCCTTTTATCTTGGTGTGGTCCAGGTAGTTTATTTTCCCCCGATCACGCCTGTCAGAGGACTGAAGGGGGTGGTGGAATAGGTTGTAAGCCTGTATTTACTCAGGCCCGACCTGCTCGGCCTTGGGAACCAGGAAGTCTCACCTGACTTCTCGGCTGCTTTTGTCCCTTTGCCATCTTACGGCTTAGGTTTTTTGGGCATTTGCATCAGTAATATAAGTTGCGGGGTTGAAGTGGCTGCTGACCTCGGCTCCCATCTCCTTGATTTTCCCCCAGCACAGGCTCTCTCACTGGTCTACCTGGTTCTGCGCCCTGCTCGTCAGCCCCCTCTGTCCATTCTCCCCGCACAGGAGGGTTGGTGCGGTGTGGTGGGTGCCTGCGGGGGTCTCTGTGTGTACGCAGCGGGGGGCTTGCCTGCGCCAGGCCCAGTGCTGCGGGGCCTGACCTTCAGGGGCACCCTCTGACCCCTCATTCCTTCCCCCACTCTCACTAGGCGGGAATCCCGCTGGTGATCGCATGGAGGCTTAGCCGTAGAGGGGACAGCGTTCACAGCGGCTGTGTTCCGCTGCAGACGCGCTATCCTGTGCCGAACCCCACCAGGGCCTCAGCTCCTGCCGCCTGGACACACGCCCTCCTCCAACGGCATCAAAGTCCACCAGTCTCGCCAGCTCCTGCACCGAAAGGCCCCTTCCTGGGGTCACTCTTTACAGCAATCCGCTGTCCAGTACATCCTCCTTGGTGTCCTTCCTGCTGACGAAACCATGTCCGTTCTCCATATGGTACCATCTGCCTGTTCCCCAAACCGTCGTTGCCATGACCTCCTTGTCCCCGGCAGCAGGTGCCAGCGCTCCCCGCGACACGGCAGGTGGTGTGGGCAGGGGCCTCTGCCTCGCTGTTTGGGATTGTGCTCATGCCGGCTGGGGACAGCTGTGACAGTGGTGGCTCCTCCTGGGGAGTGAGGGTCACTGGGGTGGCTCCGGCAGCGGTGGGGGGCGGGGGGGCTGCCCAAGGCTCCCAGGGCTCCAGTAAGTTCCTGCGACAGAGTGAACTCTAATAACATCTTTTGATGAGAAGTTTTAATTCTTTAAACAGCTTTATTAGGACTATAATAACATATCCCAACTACACATGGTTGATGTTTATTTATTTTTGAGAGAAAGAGAGAGAGACAGAGCACGAAAGGTGAGGGGCAGAGAAAGAGGAAGACACAGAATCCAAAGCAGGCTCCAGGCTCTGAGCTGTGAGCACAGAGCCGGACGCGGGGCTCCAACTCACGAGCTGTGAGATCATGATGCTTAACCAACTGAGCCACCCAGGTGCCCCCTAACTACCCATGTTGATGCTCTGACGTATGTATATCCCTTGAAACCATCACAAGACCGTGAACATATCCGTCACCCCCAAAAGGTTCCCCCTGCCCTTGGGAGTCATCCCCTCCACTGTCCTCCCACGCTGCCCCAGGCAAAAACTGATGTTCTCCGTCACTACATTAGATTGTATCCACATTGTTCTGTGCCTTAGTATCAATAGTTCATTCCACTGTGTGAGCGTACCGCAGTTTACCTATCCACTCACATGCTAGTGGAGGATTTCTGGGTTTTGGCTATTACACACAGAGCTGCTTATAAACATTCATGTGCATGTATTTGTATGGAAATATGCTCTTATTTCTCCTGTGTAAATATCAAGGAGTGGGATGCCTGGATTGTATGGTAGGTGTATGTTTAACTTTTCAAAAAGACTGCGAGAGGGGCGCTGACTGGCTCAGGCAGAGGAGCACGCAACTCTTGATCTTGGGGTTGTGAGTTTCAGCCCAACGCTGGGTGTAGAGATTACTTAAGTAAATTAAAAAATTAAAAACGAAAACAAAACCTGCCACAACGATTGTACCCTTATACTTTACCGCCAGCGGTGCCTGAGAGTTCCAGCTGTTCTGGGTCTCTGCCAGCACTTGGCATGGTCAGTCTTTTTAATTTTAGACATTCTCATACATGCACAGTGGTAGGTCACCATGATCTTGACCTGCATTTCACTAATGACTAAGGATGCTGAGCATCTTCTTGTCTTTCTGTATATCTTCTCTGGCCTGCTGTCTTCCCTTTTCAAATCCTTTGCCCATTTTAAAAACTGGGTTGTTTATTCCCTTAGTTTTGGGTTTGTGTTTTGAGAGTTGATCACATGTTCTGGATACAAGTCATTTATCAGATCTGTGATTTACAATTCTTTTCTCTCAGTCTATCGCTTGTCTTCTTATTCTTTTACCAGCGTCATTTTCAGAAGTTTTACATTTAGATGGAGTCCAATTTACCCCTTTTTTCCTGTATGGATTGTGCTTTTGATGTTGCAGCTAAAACCTTTTGGCCTAATCCTGGGTCACAAGACATTCTCCTATGTTTTCTTCTAGAAGTTTAATGATTTTAGATTTTACACATAGACATACAACCCATTTCAAGTTAATTTTTACGTTTGGTGTGAAAATACGTTTTTAACTTTGGTGAAGTCCAGTACCAAATTTTTCTTTTATAGTCAGTGCTCTTCATATCCTAAGAAATACTGTAGCAAATATATTTTCTTGTGTTTTCTTCAAGAAAACTTTACATTTAGACCTATGATCCATCTCAAATTAATTCTTTTTTAAATGTTTATTTCTATACTTTTGAGAGAGAGAGAGTGAGCACGCATGCACACAAGCAGGGGAGGGGCAGAGAGAGAGAGAGAAAGAATCAGAAGTAGGCTCCAGGCTCTGAGCTGTCAGTGCAGAGCCCGACTCAGGGCTTGAACCCACAAACCATGAGATCATGACCAGAGTTGAAGTCAGACGCTCAACCAACATAAACCACCCAGGCACCCCTCAAATTAATTCTTACAAATGGTATAAAGTAGAGCTGAGGTTCATTTTCCCTCCCACTTGTGTGTTGTTTTTTTTAATGTTTAATTTTATTTTTGAGAGAGAGTGTAAGCAGGGAAGGGGTAGGGGTTGGGGGTAAGAGAGGATCAAAAGCGAGTTCTGTACTGATCCCTCCCACTTGTTAATCTAGCATTCCAGCATCGTTTGTTGAAAATACTTTCTCTTCCCCTCTCACTTGCTTTGATGACCATCAATTGTATTTTTTACAAGACAAACTGCAATAAAAAATTTACAGTGGGTTCACTGAGTCACTAAACACTTTCCGAGAACCCACCGTATAGAGGCAGTATGCTAGGGGCAAGGGACCCATGGGTGAATAGTGTCCCCTGCCCTCAGGAAGGTTATGTCCGAGAGAAGAAGCAGTCATACAAACAAACGGGTATGGAGGGTGGAGAAAGTCGTGCTGTATGGGGGTGGACAGAGGAGGGAGAGACCGGTCCTCTGGGCATATGAGGGAAGGTATCTCAGAGGAGGATATATCTGAGCTGGTCTCGGAGGAAATGTAAGGAAGAAGGGAGATTTAACAGGTGCACATGATAGGGAGGGAGGCAAGGAGAACACTCCCAGCAGAGGGACAGGATGCGAAGCAGCCTGGAATATTTAGGACTTGTAAGTAGTTGTTGCATATATTGGTCTGGTGCTCAATCTGGATTGGAGTCCCTAGTATCTTCTTCTCTGGACAACATAGTAAATGAATCCGAGGCATTCAGCATGTACCCTCAGATGGGGGGCATCTTTTAATCAGATCTCTTGGAGGAGGCGCTCTGTCCAGAGAGTGGCTATCTTTCTACTCTAGGACATACGTCATCACCTCCATATTGAAAGTAAATTTCATCTGCTACAGCTCTTAGCCCAGCTATAGGTAAAAGAACAGGAACTTACCACTTCATTGATGGCTTTGATTAGGAAAAGACCATCCTTATAAAAATAAAACAGTCTAGCAATACCTGAAACAGAAAAATCAGTGACAGACCAATGAGTCGGGGAAGAAGTGGGATTTTATATCTGACTTTCTGAATCATCATCGTACGCTCACGGGTTCTTCGGCCTCCTCCCAGCCCCTCCACAGCCCATGCTGATCCCAGTCTCCCTGCCTTCCCCCACCCCTCTCCTGACATGTTCAGGCTCTTCTCCCTCCTGGGTCCTCCCTGCCTACCCTGGCCTCTCCTCTTGTCCTGGAAGCCTCTGGAAGACACCCATAACTTGCCCCAGCACCCATAATCCAGAAGGGCAAAGGCACAGGGCCCACTGTGCAAGCAGGTCTAACTCAACCCGATAAGCATCTGAGGGATGTCTGCTCCATGACCACATATGTGCCGGGGACAGCGGGGGCACGCTCTGCCTTCAAGTGCATTGCACTGAGGGTCACACGGAGGTGAAACCCAGCAGACGTAATGCAGTGCGATAGACGTGATCGAATCTTTTGGCCACACTCCTCCTGAATATAACATTCCCCTCTTGCTGCTCCAAGGCTGCGCGTGCTCAGATGGAATTCTTCAACCCAGACCACTGAGGCCTTATTCTCCTGCTGTCAAGGAATGGCACCCTCGTCCACCCCATTATCCAAGGCAGGGAGGAGGAGTCATTTTTCTCACTTCCCCACTCACATCCCCGCTCTCCTACCCCATGTGCGTATTCTACTGCTCTTCTTGAGTTTTCCCATTACGTTTACCTTTTCATTCCTTAAACTTTTTATTTTGTTTCTTTTTTTTTTTTAATGTTTTATTTATTTCTAGGAGAGACAGCGTGAGCAGGGGAGGGTCAGAGAGAGAGGGAGTCACAGACTGAAACAGGCTCCAGGCTCTGAGCTGGCAGTCAGCACAGAGCCTGACGCGGGGCTCGAACCCACGAACCGCAAGATCATGACCTAAGCGAAAGTCGGACGCTTAACCGACTAAGCCACCCAGGCGCCCCTAAACTTTTTATTTTGAACTAATTTAGGCCTAAAGAAAAGTTGCAAAAAGAGTACAGAGTTGCCATATATCCCTCGCCTCACTTCCCCAACGGATACTTACATGACCACAGCACCATTTTTCCTGTCGCTTTACCAGCCTTTGCCTTGGTTCAGACCTTCATAGTTTCCCTCTTCGATGAATGCGGCAGTTCTTGGGTCCCTCCCTGCCTTTTACTATTACTATTTTTTTTTAACCAGCAAAAGATGGGTTCACTTGGGAATAGTAGAGAATCGCAACCCTGGACCAGCAGACTCCTGCACGACCCTGTCTCTGCCTCTCATTTTGATTTTTCAGACTCCTACCATGGTGTCCTTCCTAAAATGCCAGTCTGGTCAGGTCACTCTCCTGCGGAAACAGGATTCCCCGGGACCCTGGCTATGGCTCCATATATGACAGTCCTCAGGAAGGCCGGGTTCACCCTCTGGCTGAAACAATCCCTGGTTTCTAGGGGCAGTGAGATTTCTGAGCACCCAAGGGGTGGGGACTCTGGGTCCACGGTGGCTGGTTCAAATCCTGCCTGTACCCTTTGCCTTCTACATTACCTCCAGTGAGTTCTTTAACCTCGATGCCTCAGATGCCTCTTGTGGAAAACAGGGATAATAAACTGTTCTTACCTCCTATGGCTGTTGCGAGAGTTAAATGGGCCAAGCTATGTGTAACGTTAGAATAGTGCTTGGCACGCCATCCTATTCTGTAGGCATTAGTTCATGCTACGTGGCCAGGGAGAACTCGCCATGTCTGGCCTCACCGCTACCAGGAAAGGAGATTTAGTTGAACAGTCTATAGATACCTATAAATTAGGCTAAAAAAAATAAATAAAAAGAACAAGTACCCATTTCATCCACGGGAGCAATAAGTATTTCATTCCCCAAATCTGCAGCCCAGATGGAAGTGACGTCAACCTTAAGTTTCTCCCAGACGTATAGCCGTTTAGCATCATACAGATTATAGATGGAGAACCCTTTGGCTCCTCCAATGAACACATAGTCTTGGGAAACAGCCATACAGTTTGGCATTTTGTTGAGCTGGGAAAACAAAAACAGAAAAAAAAAAAAAAAAAGGAATGATTTTCAGCTGCCCACGCCCCCATCTGCAAGAATATGAGCTGACTTTCCAAAGAGGCATGCGTGCCCTTCCTGGATAGAATATCGCCCCAAATAGTGCTCATCTAAATATCTTGCCCAAGCATCCAGACAGTCGTTGCATTTACTTTTAGGGGAAAGGAGCTGGGGAAAACAAGTAAGTGGAAAACAAGTACACATTCACAACACTAACCCTGACCACGAGCCCTCCAAGGAGTGGACACGTGGCCCCATTGCCTGTACTTTTTTTCATCTAGAACTCTGCAGAAAGAGCTATAGCCGAGGCACTGGCAGATTCTCAACCATCAAGCAAGAGGGTGATGAATACGTTCAGAGATATTCTTAAATAACAACAGAATATGGAAGACTTTCCGTACAATCTTCAGCTAGCCAGAACGCCCATTCCCCCCCTGGGGCAATTATGAGATCCATTTTCATCAACGACAGCATGCTTGTAATCTTTCAAAAATGCCCCTGCCGTATCGAATGAAGGTTTCTCAGAGGAGTTCCTTCCCCGGATCAGACGTTTTCATTTATTAGCCTTCGGCTGGGAAGCAGGGTCTCCTGGTCAGCGGCCCCATACCTTGCTTTCTATGAGCGGAGGGAAGCTGGTGGCAAGCGGGGCCTGGCCCTGCTCTGCTTCCCTCACCACATCCTTCCTCATGATCACTTCCCAAGTCTGGTCAAAGAGCAGGTTCACCATCTTGTTGATCATTCGGTAAGGCTGAGGCAGGAAGTCCAGCTCCTGCTCTGAATCTTTGAAGGCAAAATCCTCTTCGTCGTCCTTAGGCCAGTCATGCTCTGCCGGGGACGGCACCTCCAGCGGTACCTTTTGGACGAAGCTGGAGAGCTTTATCTTACGGCCTTTACTTCCTTTGGGGGAAGACATGGCAGAAGCTGGCACCAGAAACTTCTCTGAAACTCTGAAAAGCTGATAAAGAGAGCAAGCAAAGGTACTTTGAGAAACAGGGGAAGTTACCAGAAGATAGCACATCATCCTTTCTAGCGCTGAAACGGGCCCATGGGGACTGTTTATTCTAGAGACGGGCACTTTCTTATTTGTCACAGGACTCTGTTCGTATGGATATCATGTGCGTGTGGTTATATGCTCTTCATATGAGTAAGGACAGCAGCAGAAACGGGCATGGACAAGTCGCATCTTCCAGGCCAGCCCAAGATGATGTGTGCGCAGTATGGTGCGGGGAGAGGAATCTGGTATCCTGGTCACCCTTCTCCATCTCCTGCTAAGAAAGTGTCTATTTCTGTCCCAACTAGACGTCAACCTTCCTCCTAAATTCTCCTACCTCCCCCATCTCTGCACATGGCTGTGCCCAGGCCAGCTGGGGGGTGAGCCGCGTCCGCTCTCCTTCCTTTCCCCCGCCTCCGACCAGATGCTGGGGAGCACTTCAATTATTCCCTGCTGCCTCATTTGCTCCTTTCTCTCTAGGCCCGCTGCTGCCCACCATGAGTCCTGTAAGCACTGTGGGCCCAGGGACCGTGAGATTTTGCTAGGGGCACAGAAATGTTTGAGACTTGAAAACTGATGAAAACAACACAAAATCCTCACAAAATAAAAATTATTCAACACTCACAGAAATAGTATAAGGTTACTGGCTCCAGACTGTGTGTGGGCATCATGTTTCCATTCGTGGAAAGGAAGAAGTAATCGGTACTTTATAAAACTCAGAACTGTACAGATTATTTAAAAAGGCTTTCAGATATTGTAGTTAAATGAAGGCATTTAATGTAGCACGCGGGGTCCTGCACTGTCAAAGCGCTGGGGGCTGTGGAAATCTTGTAAAAACTTGCTGCCGTCAATCTTTCCTCACCTGCTAGGGCACACCTGTGCTGTTCCCGGCTCATGGGTAGAGGAGCTAGCTGTCTGAATATGAGAAAAAGAACCACCTGAAATAATTGGTAGACCAGTAACCTGAGCTCCCACAGGGTCGGGAATAATGCCTGTTTCCGGCAGAGAGAATGGAAAGCTTCATAATTCACAAACTTTAGGTGGAGTGCTCAGAAGAGTCTTGCCAAGTAGCGGGGAAAATTAGCCCTCAAATCTTAGAAGTTACCAGATCAGGAGTGCCTGGGTGGCTAGTCAGTTAAGTGTCCGACTTTGGCTCAGGTCATGATCTCACAGTGTGTAGGTTTGAGCCCTACATTGGGCTCTGGGCTGACAGCTCAGAGCCTGGAACCTGCTTCTGATTCTGTCTCTCCCTCTCTCTCTGCCCCTCCCCTGCTTGCAGTCTGCCCCTATCTCTCTCTTTCTCTCTCTCTCTCAAAAATAAATAAACATTTTAAAAAAATTAAAAGGAAAAAAGAAGTTACAAGATCAAACTATTGCTAAGTAACTTAACTGCATACCAAAGCAGAGCTCAGGAATATTTATAGGAATACAGAAATATCCAGCATCCAATGAAGGAAATATCTGGGACCCAATAAAAAAAAATAACCTGGGGTGCCTGGGTGGCTCAGTCGGTTAAGCGTCAGATTTCGGCTCAGGTCATGATCTCACGGTTGTGAGTTTGAGCCCCGTGTTTGGCTCTGTTCTAACAGCTCAGAGCCTGCAGTCTGCTTCGGACTCTGTCTCCCTCTGTCTCTACCCCTCCCCGGCTCATGCTTTGTCTCTCTCTCTCTCTCTCTCTCTCTCTCTCGAAAAAGAATAAACATTGGGGCGTCTGGGTGGCTCAGTCGGTTAAGCATCCAACTTCAGCTCAGGTCATGATGTCCCCGCTTGTGAGTTGAAGCCCCACATGGGACTCTGTGTTGACAGCTCAGAGCCTAGAGCCTGCTTCTGATTCTGTGTCTCTTTCTCTCTAGCCCTCCACCACTCATACTTTGTCTGTCCCTCAAGAATAAATACACATTAAAAATTTTTTTATTTTAAAAAATTACCTGGCATGCAGAGGCAAGAAAACACAGCCATAATAAAGAGAAAAATCAATTAATAAAAGCTGACTCATAATCAACATAGCTATTAGATTAGCAGACCAAAAAAAGTTTATAACTGTTATATATATATAATATATATTTATATATATTTATAATCCACATGTTCAAAAACCAAGAGGAAAGGTGAAGCAGGGATGTGGAAGATACAAAGTAACCCAAACTGAACTTTTAGAGATGAAAACTATAATGTCTGAGATGAAGAACACATTTGATTAGCTTAATCACAAGCTTTCAGAGCAAAACAAATGAGATGGACAGAAGATTAGTGTATCTAAAGATACAGCAATAGAAATAAAATGAAACAGAGAGAGAAAAAAAAAATAAAGTGAGGTGTGGGAGTACCTGAAGTAGCCTAATATGTGTGGTTGAAATCCCCAAAGGAGGGAAGAGACAAAAAAAATCTGTAGAAATAGGCAAAATATTTCTAAGTTTGATGAAAACTATAAACTCACAGATCCACGAAGAAAAACAAGTCCTGAGGAAACAAAACATGAAGAAATGTATACCAAGTCACATCGTGATCAAAACTAAAGATGTGATAAAGACAAATTTTGAAAAGCAGCCGGTGGGGGGGGGGGGGGAGGGGGCGAAGACATAAGTATAGAAACAAAATAAAGGACAGCAGCAGATTTCCTGAAGGAAAGCACCAGTGAGAGGGCAGTGGAGCACTGTTCTAGAACACTCTACCCAACAACAGCAGTATACTGCTTCTTCTTTTTCTTTTTTTAAATGTTTATTTCTGAGAGAGAGAGAGAGACAGTGTGAGCAGGGGAGGGTCAGAGAGAGAGGGACACACAGAATCCGAAGCAGCTCCAGGCTCTGAGCTGGCTGTCAGCACAGAGCCCGACGCGGGGCTCGAACCCATGAACTGTGAGATCATGACCTGAGCCGAAGTCAGACACTCAACCGACTGAGCCACCCAGGCGCCCCACCACTTCTTTTTTAAGTACACATGAAATATTTACCAAGACAAGTCGTCTTCTGGTCTATAAGCCAAGTCTTAATAAATTTAAAAGTACTCAAGTCATACAAACTGTTTTCTGACCACTCAGAAGTATTTTAGAAGTAACAGAAAGGTATTTAGAAAGATACAAAACTTCAAAAATAACACACTTCCTAATAATTTATGGACCACTACTACATACCTGTTAGAATGGCTAAAATAAAAATCAAAATATTGGCAATACTAATGAAGATGCAGAGCAAATGGACAGGAATAAAAAATGATACCCACCCTGGAAAAGGATTTGGCAGTTTCTTATGAAATTAAACACGTATTTATATGTGACACAGCAAATGTACTCCTGGGTATCCACTCTAGGAGTATGAAAGCTTAGACTCACACATAAGCCTGTACACAAATGTCTATAGTGGCTCTGTTTATAATTGCCAAAAATCCAAAACAATCCAAGTAGCCTTCACTGGGTAAGTGGATAAATTAATAGTGGTGTATCCACATAATGGAACACTACTTGGTAATAAAAAGTAAAAAATTACTGATATGCACACAAATATGGATGAATCTCAAAGGCATTATGCTCAGTGAGAGAAACCAGTCTCAAAATTTATGTGCAGTGATTCTATTTATATGGCATTTCTAGAAAACGCAAAATGAGTAACAGGGGACAGATCAGTAGATGCTGGGAGTTATAGGTGGAGGGAGGATATAATTAAAAAAGGATAGCATGCGGGAGTTTTGGGGGACGATGAAGCTGTTTTATCCAGATCAGAAAGGAAGATGTAAAGCTGTCTTCATTCCTATATAATACAATGATCTATATAGGAAATCTAATGAAATCTACTAAAACTCGTAAATGAGGTTGGCAAAGTTGCAGGATATAAGTTCAATATAGAAAAACCTACTGTATTTCTGTATACTGGCAACAAAAATCAAAAGCTGAAATTTAAAAATACTACTCTAATAGTATCAAAACTGAAATGGGGATAAATCTGACAAACGTTGTATAAAACCTGTGCATGGAAAGCTGTAAAATATTGCTGAGAGAAATTAAAGAAGACCTAAGTGAATGGATTGAGATACCTTGTTTGTGGGTTGGAAGACTCAATTTTGTTAAGATGTCCGTTCTTCCCAAATCTAAAATTCAACACAATCCCTATGATAGTCCAGCTGGCCTTTTTTTTTTTTTTTTTAAGAAATTAAGATGCTCATTTTATAATTCATATGGCTATGCAAAGTACCTAGAATAGCCAAAATAACTTAGAAAAAGAAGGACAGAATTAGAGGACTAACACTACCTATTTCAAGACTATTATAAAACTATAGTAATCAACACAGTGTGGTATTGGCACCAAGCTACACAAATAGATCAGTAAAACCAAATAGAGAGTCCAGAATTAGACTCACATATGCACGGGCAGCTTATGTTTGACAAAGCAAAGATAATTCTGTGGGAAAAGGATAACTTTTTTTCCAATAAATAATGCTGCAGCAATTCAATATCCACATGAAAAGGAAAGTGAACTCTGATCTATACCTTGCAGCATATGCAAAAATTCAAAGTAGATCATAGACCAAAATGTAAAATTTACAACTATATAGCTTCTAGAAGAAAATACGGGAGAAAACCTTTGCAATCTTCAGTTAGACAAAAATTTCTTAGATATGACATTGAAGCACAATCCATAAAAGAAGAAATGGGTACCTTAAACCTTTCCAAAATAAGTGTATGCTTTTCAAAAACCACCATTCAGAGAATAAAAGATAGTTCACAGTCTGGGAGAAAATGGTGGCAGGTCATATATATGATAAATCACTTGTGTCCAGAATATTTTGCACATTCTTAAAACTAAGTAATAAGAAATGACCCAATTTTTTCAAGTGGGCCAAAGATTTGTACACTTACCTAAAGAAGATATACCGATGGCACATGGGACATGAAGAGAACTCCACTAATTCCATTAGTTAGTGAAATGGAAATTACAAGCACAATACATGTGTATTAGGATGCCTAAAAAGATCACACCAAGCCTTGTCAAGGATGTAAAGGACCCAGAACTCTTTTTTTTTTAATGTTTTTATTTTATTTTATTTTATTTATTTCTATGTTTCTAGGAGAGAGAGAGAGAGACAGCGTGAGCAGGGGAGGGTCAGAGAGGGAGGGAGTCACAGACTGAAACAGGCTCCAGGCTCTGAGCTGGCAGTCAGCACAGAGCCTGACGCGGGGCTCGAACCCACGAACCGCGAGATCATGACCTAAGCGAAAGTTGGACGCTCAACCGTCTAAGCCACCCAGGCGCCCCGACCCAGAACTCTTCCAACTACTGTTGGGAAGGTAAAATGGTACAATCAGTTTGGAAAACAGTCTAGCAACTTCTTAAAAAGTTACCACTATAGCCAGTCATTCCACTCTTAGGGGTGATATAAAGGAACTGAAGACATACATCCACACATAGGCTTGTACATGAATGTTCATTACGGCTTTGTAGGAGCCCCAAACTGGAAACAACCCAAATGTTTATCAATAGGCAAACAGATGAACTCCCAGTCATATCCCACGTTTAGTGGGAATACAAAATAGCGCAGCCACCTTGGAAAACAGTCTGGCAATTTCTCACAAAGTTGAACATCCACTCGTCCTATGATACAGGAATTCCATTCCTACATGTTACATGAGAAAAACCTATGTTTCATATGAAAATCTGTACTTAAATATTAACTGCAGCTTTATTTATAACTGCCCCAAACTAGAAACAACACAAATGTAGTTCAGTGAGTGCAAAGATAATGAACTACGGTAGGTCCATACGATGAAATACTAGTTAACGACAAAAAATTACAAACTACTGATTATGTTAAGTGAAAGGAATCAGATAGGAAAAGCTACATACTACATGATTCACTTTGATATTGTAAAAGGCAGAATTATAGGTATGGGAAATATATAGATCTGTGTTTAGAAGCACCCTGTGCTCATCTTTATCATCTAACATATCACTGTGTTGTGTTTACTATATACTTGTGTCCCCCGCTAACATTTTACCCTAGGCTGAGAGCTTAGCACAGTGGTCAGTACACAGGCAGCATTCAATACATTTGCCTGCAGTATCGCCCTGCCCTGGGACATACATTTAGAGAATACTTTGTCTCTCCTCCAAGCACTTCCTTCTGAAAAGGACGCATAATTTGTGGGGCCAAGAGATTATCCCCACCCAGAGGCTAGATGCACCCTTCTGGAGTCTGGACCATGTTCAAGGGTACCTACACCCCTGAAATTTACTGCCCAGATGATGCCAAGGCCTGCACAAACCTCTTTCCCATCTTTCTCTTGAGGGCAGGCCCAGATGCTAATGTGTGCACCCCTAGACCTGAAAGATGGCCAAGGCATGGCTGTTTGCAGGGGGAGGGGCAGAACTTGGATGTGGCTTGGAATATCCACACATTGTATGCAGGGTCCCTCCCAGTGATGTGGATGGGAGCCAGGAATGGGAAGAGAAGGGGTGTGGGCAAGGACCGGGGGCCAGCTCTCCCCACAGTACCGTATTCCAGCTGTGTTTCCAGGTATCCCAAGGAGCCCAAGGATTCTTTTTTTAATGTAATTCATTGTCAAGTTTAGCTAATATACAGTGTATACAAGTACACTTGGCTTTGGGAGTAGAGTCCCATGATTCATCGCTTACATACAACACCCAGTGCTCATCCCAACAAGTGCCCTCCTCAATGCCCATCAGCCATTTTCCCATCTACCCTGCCCTCCCCCAATCCACTGTTTGTTTTCTGCATTTAAGACTCTCTTACGGTTTGCCTCCCTTCCTCTCTGTTTGAAACCTCTTTTCCCCCTTCCCTTCCCCCACGGTCTTCTGTTAAGTTTCTCAAATTCCACATAGGAGTGAGAACATGTGATATCTGTCTTCCTCTGACTGACTTATTTCACTTAGCATAATACCCTCCAGTTCAATCCAAGTTGTTGCAAATGGCAATATTTCATTCTTTCTCATTCCCAAGTAGTATTCCATTCTGTATATGTACCCCATCTTCTTTATCCATTCATCAGTTGATGGACATTTGGGCTCTTTCCACAATTTGGCTATTGTCGATAGCGCTCCTATAAACATTGGGGTGCACGTGCCCCTGTGAATAGTACTCCCGTATCCTTTGGATACATTCCTAGTAGTGCTATTGCTAAGAATAACTGAACTTATCATCATGAAAGTGTATTTGACAAGGTAGAAGAACAGAACATATCTAATGTGACAACTGGGTTACCTTGACTCAAAACTTCCAAATATTTAAACATATGGTATGTGGGAGACACCTGGCTGGCTCAGTCAGTGGAGCACAGGAGCCTTGATCTTGGGGTCAAGTAGAGATTACTTAAAAAAATCTTTGGGGTGCCTGGGTGGCTCAGTCGGTTGAGCATTAGACTCTTGATTTCAGCTCAGGCCATGATCTGTTTGTGAGATCGAGCCCCACATCAGGCTCTGCACTGACAGCACAGGGCCCTGCTTGGGATTCTCTCTCACTGCCCCTCCTACTCTCTCTTTAAATAAATTAATTTAAAAAAATAAAATCTTTAAAAATAATGAAAATAGGGGCGCCTGGGTGGTTTGGTTGGTTAAGCGTCCGACTTTCGCTTGGGTCATGATCTCACGGTTCGTGGGTTCGAGCCCCGCGTCAGGCTCTGTGCTGACTGCCAGCTCAGAGCCTCGAGCCTGTTTCAGTCTGTGACTCCCTCTCTCTCTGACCCTCCCCTGCTCACGCTGTCTCTCTCTCTGTCTCCTAGAAATAAATAAAATATTTAAAAAAATAATAATGAAAATAAAATAAAAAATTAACATATGGTACATGGGTCTCTATTTGTAGTCCTACCTCGGGGCCTGCAAATGTTAGGGGCAGACCTGAGGGAAGGGAATAAAGATTACAAAGATAGGTCACCTTACTTTTTGATTACAGGAGGTACATTTTATAAAATTACTGCTATGGGAGGGGTGGGATTCCACATCCTCAGGCCCTATAAAAGTAACGTTCAGTAACGTTCAGTGGTGCAATTTCATCATCATTAACTTCTGCCTCCACTGTGTTCACGTTAGCCCTTCTAGGACTTTCTCAAATAGCAATCTTCTTACTCAATAAACCTAACAGAAAATTCTCTCACTTTACCCAGCTCTCCATGCCAGAAACACATGCCACGAACTGGCTTATCTCTGCTCTAACCATTTCCTTCCCCAGCTCTGGAGCTGCTGTTGCTCAAGGGAAACCGAGGCACAGAGGTGGGAAATGATTAGGCCCCAAAGTCCCCAAACAAAACCCCAGGGGAATCTGCATTCAGGATGCCACATGGGTTTCCTGAGTTCCCAGGATCTCCAGGAACGGCGGAGGCTGGGGAGACGGCCCCCCGCCTCCCAGAGCCCCCCTCTAGAAGACCCAAGATATCAAAGGGTGTCCGGGACACGCGGGAAAGGGCTGAACCCAAGCCCTAAAGCCGAGCTTACGCTCACCTGGGCCTGCCGCTTGGTGTCGCCTTAGTAACCGCCACTTCCGGCCCCCACCGGAAGCCCTCCGAGTCGCTGTTCGGAAGGCGCCCCCGCCCCCGCGGAGGCGGGGAGACTGGGTCTATCCCGCGGGGACCCGGCGACAGCCAGAAGGACTCGAGACTGAGCCAGGGGCGACACGTGGTCTCGGCCGGGCGCCATGGATGCCTTCACCCGCTTCACCAACCAGACCCAGGGCCGGGACCGACTCTTCAGGTGAGTCAGGCGCCCGCGGCTGCTGCCCGAGCTGGGTCCCGTGTCGTTCGGCCCCGGAGGAGGGACTCGCCCGGTGGCCGGAGGCAGGACGGAGTTCGGTTCTGGAGCCCCTCTCTGGCCCCGCCGGCACTCTGCGGGACCCCGGCGGAGCCTCCTCCCGGCAGCCCTCAGGCCCTGACCGTGGTGGACCAGTCCACCAACCCTCTTTCTTTTTCTTTTTTCTTTCTTTCTTTTTTTTTTTTTATAAAGTAATCTCTACACCCACCGTGGGGTTCGAACTCACAACCCCAGGATCAAGAGTCCACCGCCCCATCGACTGAGCCAGCCAGGTGTCCCTCCAGGATTTTTTAAAAAAATGTTTATTTTTGAGAGAGAGAGAGAGAGAGAGAGAGAGAGAGCACAAGCAGGGGAGGGGCGGAGAGAGAGGGAGACACAGACTCCGAAGCAGGCTCAGGGCTCCGAGCTGTCAGCGCAAATCCCCAACTCAGGGCTGGAAACCACAAACAGATCGTGACCTGAGCCCAAGTCCCAAGTTGGAGCTTTACGGACCGAGCCACCCAGCACTCCCCCATCCCACCGGCCAGGAATTTTTTAAGATGAACTTTGGGTTGGCATTTGTGGCCAAGCAAGCCAGCCAGTTGGCTGTGGTTTCAAATCCCCAATGAAACGCTTAGGGAGAAACAGAACTTGTATTTATCTTCCACTATTGTCCTGTCGTAGGGAAGGAAAAATTCTGCCTCTACCCTCAAGGTCCTTCAGCTAGACAAAGAATTAAATTTACACAAAGCAGGTTCACAGGAGGAGAAGAGAAAAGAACAGCAACAACAACAAACCACAACCAAGGGTGTTTGCACTGCGGCCCTGGGCCCCGGTATGGGGAACTGACAAGAAATGACCAAGCAGGGAGTTTTTCTACATTTGAGACAGACAGACAGACAATACATTTGAGGAATTGACAAGATAAAGAAAGCAGGTGTTTGGGAGCTTCATTGAGGAGGGAATCCTAAACAGAGTTTAGGCTGAGGGCGGCGCCTGGGTGGCTCATCGATCGTCCAACTTGGGCTTAGGTCATGATCTCGTGGTTGACGAGTTCGAACCGTGCGTCAGGCTCTGCGTTGACCTCTCGGAATCTGGAGCACGCTTCGGATTCTGTGTCTCTGTGTCTCTCTCTGTCCCTCCCCCGCTCATGCTTTGTCTCTGTCTCAAAAATAAACAAACATTAGAGAAAAAAATAATTTAGGCCGAGGTAGTAGGGTTAGAAAAAAAGTAACTGGGTTCGTTTCTGCAGCTTTCTCTGTTGTAAAGCCCCTCTCTCTAGTGATAAGGAGGTCTTTTTACTTCCTTAGTACAGGGAGGGTATTTTTCATATGGAAGATGTGTTTCCTATTTTCTGGGTGACAGGAGGGTCTGAACCGCTGTTTCTTAAGAAATTTTTATTTATTTATTTATTTATTTATTTATTTTTTGCCTCTTTCATTGCTGTAAATTTTATTGTTTTTTTTTTGTTTTTTTTTTTGTTTTTTTTACAAATAGTTTATTGTCAAATTAGTTTCCACATAACACTCAGTGCTCATCCCCAAAGTGCCCTCCTCCCTTCCC